TCTTCAGCTCTTCTAACTTAAATTGGGGAAAACAGGGGGCAACTAAGGTCTAAAATCATTTCTTCTTGCCATGTACGTCATAACCGAGCCACCTCTAAATATAATGTAGGATAGTACAAAAGCATCTAACCTCTAAGGCTTCTTTAGAGCCCCATGAGGACAAGCGTTTGCACTCTAAACGGGAGGTCCGAGTAGCATTTTAGACAGTATCTTGTAGCATGTAGAGAACGTTCTAATCAAGACTGCACCAAGACTGCTCAACTCGTGGTAAAAACAGTTTGACTTAGCTTAGTCAAACGTATTCTGTTCGAGAGCATTTGACCTGAAAACCAGTCAGCCGTTGTCTTCACATGATGACTTACTATGACCACTAACTCACTGTGGTTCGGGAATTTAGTCATTCAGGTTTCGCAAGTACTGAAGTTAGTTATATCCCTACGTCCCATCCACAAAGCGGCGTTTAAAGCCACACCGCTAGATATCACATAACTCATGTGTATCTCGTATTGCTAAGTGCTTCAAATGTGGCAAAGTCGGACACATGTAGGCAGCTTATAATATTATTGTTCATCTCGCTGCAACTAATGCTAAATTTTGTCATTCCCGTCTTAATAAGTTGAGTGTTTCTAATGGTTATCTATCTTTATCCACGACTAAGAAAAGCAGTTTAGAGTCACATTGCAGTCCAGAATTAAATGAAACTCAGAATCATTGCGATAAAGGGTTTCCAATCAACCAACTTCTTATCAGGTTCCTCATGTCGTCTTACGAGATATGGTTTGTTCTGATGATTCACATATTTCTGATGGAATTTCTAATAAATCTGAGGAAAATATGTTGAATGAATAAAACCATGATCGAAAATCTGGTTCAGTTTTGATAGATGCTGATTCTTCAAATTATACATTATCCAATGACATTCTTAGTAATTTTGAGGAAAATACTTCGGAAAAACCAAGTTCTGATGTCATATCAAATATTATTTGTCGCCATAATGCATTTGCTTCCTGTAGGAAGCTTGTTCAACGCGAAGAATGAGTTCTAAACGAGCTTGATTTTGGCTACAATTCGGATGATTTCATATCGGCTGTTGTTCATCCTTGTCATGAAGTTGCTTGTAATGAATATTCCAGTCAGTGTGAGAAATATGCTTTAAATGAACTCACATCATTTAGAACTTGGATATGTGAAGACCCAACATTGTTTCGTGGGGGAGGATAGTGTTGGAAAGTCTATGGTTCAAAACTCTAGATATTAGCGATTTTAGTATACAGATGACACATTGATCATATACAACTTCAGGGCCCAGGTGAGTCCGCTCAAATTTCAGCTGTTAATTTTGATACTAATGAGTATATCCTAGACCATTCAGAGTCTACATCCAATACCCGATCTAACAGAAACATGATAAACCTAAGGAGAAGAGGTACAGTTGATTGCAGGAATTTGAATTCTCATTCAGGCTTTGGCGGATGTAGCGTTTGTATGAACTAATAATTCTTTTGTGTTTGATGACTGCCTGATTTCGACCTTCGTGTTCATCTAGTTCTTCTTGGTTTAAATTACACTATTCACGGGATTCCTAGTTTGTTTAAAAATTCAAATATTTCTAATTACCAAAGGTCAACAAGGCATCCTTCTCGATACAAAGAAAGAAGGAATCGTAAGGAATGTTATCCAGTTCTGCGTACCCACAAATGATAGCAACGAAGATGATAAAGATCGGTTTCATGAGGGTCTGCATTTGATCGTAGAGACGTGCCTAGGAAAGTACGAGCCCGTCCTGGTGAGTGGTCTAAACCCGAGGTCGGAATGATCCCAAAAGACAGTGTGGAGAACACTAAAACAATCAAAATTGATTGAGAATCTCTGAAAGAGGTTGGAACTTTCACGTACTTGGACAGCATCATCGATGAATGAGGAGGATCTGATGTAGATTTTAAGGCACGGATGGGCAGGACAAGGGCATCATTCCTACGGCCGGAGAAACCAGGATGGTCATCAGACAAACCAGGAGTGAAGAAGCAGCAGGACCTGACAACATAAAAGCTGGAGCAGTGATGTCAGACGTAGAAGTAACCCCAAAGAAGAATAAGAGCCGCAGACCGACTGGAGAGAATGATACCTCTTCAGGATACCAAAGAAAGGAGATTTGAGCAAGTATGAGAACTACAGAGACATCACACTACTTTGGGTACCTGAAAACGTTTTTAACATAGTGTTGCCGAACCGGATGAAAGGTTGAGTAGACATCCAGCTTTGAAACCAACAGGCTGGATCTTGTGGGGATTGATCGTACTCAGATCAAGTTGCAACTCTACGGAAAATTGTTGAGTGATCAGTTGAATGGAATTTGTCATTGTATACCAACTTTCTTGACTATGAGAATGACTTTGGCGACTTGGATAGGAAACTTTTATAAAAGCTTCTTTGACATTATGGTGTACCTGAGAAACTCGTCAAGTTCACTTGGAACTCATACAACGAACTACAGTGCAAGGTGGTGCACGGAGGACATCTGAATGACGTACACCAAGTGAGCACTGGAGTTAAACAAGACTGGTTACTTTCCTCCTTCCTCTCTCGTCCAGCAGTTGACTGGGTTATAAAAACCTCAACGTCTGCGGGTAATCACGGAATGAAACGGATAGCTTGGGTGCAAGCAGACGATCTGGACACCACAGATGACCTAACCTTTCGACGCCATACACACCGACAAATGCAAGTTAAGACGAACAGTGTTGCAGAAGCCTCCGTCTGCATCGGTAGGCCCCAGCATACACAGGGGAAAATGCATGATACTCAAATACAGCTCAACCACACGTGATGGAGAAGCTCGGAAAGAAACTTTCACATATCTGGGCAGCGTCATCGACAAACAAGTAGGATCTAATACATGCGTGAAGGTGAGGATTGGCAAAGCAAGAAAATCGTTCCTACAGTTGGAGAACATATGGAATTCAAAACAACTGCCGACAAATATCTAAATGAGAATCTTCAATACGAACGTCAAGACAGTTGTACTGTACGGAGCTGAAACTTGGAGGACTACCACAACCATCATCAAAAATTACAAGGATTTATAAACAATTATCTACACAAGATACTCAATGTCCGTTGATCGGATATCAGTGGAAATAGCCTAATGTGGGAGAGAACAAGCCAACTTTCAACTGAAGAGGAAATTAGGAAAATACGTAGGAGGTGGGTAGGACATTCATTGAGGAAATTATGAAACTGCATCACGAGGCAAGCGTTAAATTGGAATCCTGAGGGGAAACGAAAAGAGGAAGATCAATGTAATGCAATGCGTCGGGAATTGGAGGCAGGCATGGAAAGGATGAATAGCGATTGGAAACAACTGAAAAGGATTGCCCAGGACAAAGTTCAGTGGACAGTCTTGTAGGGCGGCCATCTCAACTATTTGAGCTTAGCTCGTGCTTCTTTGGATAACATCAGTGAAACGCCCACGTGTGCGAAACATAGTCTTCTTCATGACCAGAGTATAACAGAATCTCTTCCAAATGTAATATTTTCTGTCCAGCTTGGGTCCAATCCTTAGTAGCATTGACAATGAATGGCGATCACACTTTTAGAATTAGTATTGTCTAATAACTAATCAATAAACAAACACTCGTCCCATCAAGATCAGAACGAGTTTAGTCTGTTAAACGTATTTATCTATTGGTAGTTATGGACTATGAAAAACAGGGATGGCTACAAGAGATGGACTGCTGAAGCATACACTATTAGTGTCTTACCCTTCGGGCAATGCTGATTGACAACAGACGCTTTTCGTAGTTGTTACAGCTCATTGTTATAAAATATTATTTACTTATCGGGTTGCTTTGTCCATTAAGAACATAAATAATAAGGACCGGTGGTATCCGTTTCCAACCTGTCAAAATACTAGACAAAAGGTTCTAGAATTGTGTAAAATATGTCCCACCTTCATGTGGAGTTACGACAGAGCGATCACAAAAGGTACTTAGAATGAGAAATAAACATTCTTTCTCTGGCTTGGTAGCGCTGAACTTCCAGCGTCTGCAGGTAGATAAGCAGTGATGTGATCACTATGAATGGGATCCCTCATAATCCTTTTAGTTATTATAATCTGCCTCCTCTCTTTAACGCTAAATAGGCTTTTGTAGTACATCACCTAAATCTAGAGCATGACTATGCGTGCATAATGATGAATGCCCTCATGATAAGAGCTTGTAAGATGTAAGGCACAATTCACCACTTCATGATGGGGTTATTTTCTGTCAATTCCTTACAAATGGGGCTCCATATATACTTTTAGACCAATGATACTAAAGGAAATCTCTACAATTCCCTGTCAAGCAGTTTCTTCATAGTATGCAAAAAATTGATCTGGAGTACAGGTTTGCTGGTGTTACTCACAGTAAGAACACAATCGTCTTCATCTGACACTCTATGTCCTCTGTCAATTAACTTGTTACTTTGAGCATTAAATCTGTGGCGAAGTCGTACTTCAAATGACAGATTGACAATAAGTCTGGTCACTAGAAATGATTCAGTTGAAACTTGAACTGTTAACAGAATTCGAAAGCAATAAACTTACACAAAAACACCAAAACCCCAGCGTTACTGGTCAAGATACTATCTCGTTGATAATACTTCGGTTCAGCCATTTAGTAAGTAATTTGCAATAGAAAAGGTTTTAACAAACGTTTTTACTGTAAAAAGTAGAGTTTTAATGATTAAATTAACATAACTGTGTGACTCTGACGATAACACTTAAAACCTACATAAATATCGGCTGGTGACTTGTGTCGCATAGCCAGAGGTCATTCCTCCACCACTATGATTTCCGATGGATCAAAGCAGATTTTATACATCTACATAACTGAGAATAATCTGCTACCGCTTGGTCGGGTCTCTAGGAATTAAACGACTTCAATTTATGTATAGCAGGGTTTATGGTTTTATATTTTTGTTTTAGTTATGTATTTGGATAAAAAGGACAAATTGTTTGCAGCCTTGTAAATTATGTGATGAGTTTTGGAGGTTAACTCAAAGGGGTGACGGTAATACTATTGAGTTTCCGTGCTTATTGTTGACTATCGTGGTTGATAATCGAATACCATTATAAACCAATTTATGTTCGGATCTTTTAAAATAATCATTTGTTGTGGATTTTAAAGTCTGCAAACACAGTATCACTTAACTTCATTTCATCCACCGCAATGACAAATAAGATCAAATCTTAAAGTTTCCGAAATTGCATGTTCAACGCTGAATTTATTCCTACTTACATGATGGTTATTCGGAGTAGATCATCAAAAAGTCGAATTCATCTACATAATTATCCTTTCCTATTGTTAACCTTTAAGTTTATTACGACTATTATTTCCTTTAAGAGTTATAATGCGATTCTGTGCTTCCATTCGTCTAAGCTAATGAATAATTATGTACTGTAAAGTACAATTTGCTACGTAGAAAACGAAATACTGAGATCCATGTACTAGTAATTATTAGTAAATAGATCCCAGTATAACGTAACAGTTTTATGAAATATCATTTAGCGATAGAAAATGATTAACAGCGATACAGTGATAGACCTGGATATTTTAATCAATTATACTATAGCTCATATGTAAGCAATGGCAAAATTAGATGCGTTTTGATAACTTGTGTTGTGCTCGCTAATTTGTGTGGATGAATCAAGGTTATAAGAACAAGCTCAAAAACCTGGCGACGGAAAAATCATTTGCGTTTGCCAAGAAAACTTATTAGGTCAGAAAAGAGTACCTCCTAAATGATGAAACTTTGAGAATTCTCATCTGATTCATCTTTTTACCAATACAACTGTACTAAGGCGATAACTAAGAGTTTAAGATTAATTTTCCTATTTTCCTTAAACTTTTCATGCGCTTGAGAGACACCAGTTGTTGGCAAAAAAAAATTACTGGAATTTCTTTAAGAAGGCAGCTTTTGGGCGAGACTATAATTTATGTACGAACCAATCAGATTTACGATAACAGGTCTTGAATTTTTGTGCAAAATTAATTAGTTCATTTGGCTAAATAGAGTTTTGGCATGATAGCTGATGCCCGTTCGTAATGAAAACCTGATATCTAATTCCTATCCTTAACTATCAACTGTAAACATCAATCAAAGTTCCTCACACAGGTTTATAACCCTCATTTAACCGCAGTATGTTAGTGAACATTCTCAAGGTCTTTTTAGCGTCGCCCAAAGGTCATCCATAAATTATAGTATCAACCAGCCTTTGACTAACAACTATCAAAATTAATCTTGGTATAAATTAGAAAGTATTTCGACTGGTAGACCTCACCTCATGGATGTTTTTTCAGTTATTTTCTCCAGGATCTATGATAAAGCTTTATATAAATGTGGACAAACAATCAAAGTGGTGCTTTAGAAAATCATTTGAATGGGTCTGGTGGACAAAACTTCGCAAATAGCAGTAGTAGCTTAAGTTCATATGCAACGTTTAATGGTAAGTTTTATTAAAACCAACAACAGTTATTGAGAGATTCTGAATCAAGTCCGATCCTTGAACAAAGGGACCCAAAGTCTAGTACTAAACTATGGTTATCCAAAACAGGCCTTAATTGTCCAGTTTGTCAGCATGATTTCTGCTTTAGCTTGCTTTTGTGCACTAATGGACAAGAACAAAATGGATTAGCAGAAAACTCGATGAAATTGGTTCGTGAGTTGCATTCTAGACTTCATGGTGTTTCACTTGTGAGTATCCTTAAAGTGCTTTGAATTATAATTTTTCGGTGATATACTAAAATATTTTTCATGAACCATTTCACTGGAATAAGATTGATTTTTATCTAGGGACAGTTTCTAACTTAAAAGCTGATAAGCAAATAAAATAATAACCTCAAACGTTGTCTACTACAATTTGGAAAATCAATGACTTTGTTTCAAATTAAACCTCTTTTCCACTTTAAATAGGATTTTTAGTATAGATAGCCAAGTGTATTCTGTATTTGCTTTTCAAACACCTATAGTTACAGTGTAGTAATAATGAAAATAAAATGTGACATTATTTAGATCCCTAGATAACTGTACTTAGTAGATTTTATCCGTTAGACAAGATACATTAACTTGAACTCTGGCTTCCTTGGGTTCAATTAAATCTTATTCGAATAAACCCTGTCACTTGCATTAGCAGTTAAAAATATTACGAATGTAACATACTTCAGCTACTTTGATGCATTGTTCGATTTTATCCACCTGAATACTGTTTTGCTTCATTCATAATAGTGTTCTCTATGTGGCTCTTCTATTTGCCTTTCTCTATATGTTCAAAAACACCCATAAGGGCTCATTGTCAGTTTTCTATTTTTAAAAGCTATGATTTAAAACCACATAATGGGACAAAAAGAACTGTTGTCCCCCACATCCTTCCATTGTTCGACAGTCAAATACCCCTTTATGGTCATAAGTAGTGTATACTGACAAACATCAAATAGGTTCACCTATTCTAATACAAACTCTAATAAATGAAGTTGATGGCAAATTTAACTGCTTCATATCATGAAATTACGTTAGTGTTAGCCTTAGGGTATTCGTTTAAATCATTTTCATACTCATCGAGTCCCAAGTAAATATCGAATTTTCTCACGTATTTATTAAATCATCAATTTTTCTCTTCAAATAGCTCTTCATTAACGTGTAGAAAGACAGATCTTCTTGTATAACGGTAACAGTAAATCGTTACATCTCAAAAAGTTTCAAGATAATTGTTTTGAAAACTCATATTTCTACGTGACACTGTCACCTCGTTATTTCTAGGTTTTGTTTGACTATTCGCATTAACATTCCCTGATAATTGAGCACTTTACATAAGTCATTTTTATGCAGTAAAATCCAGCGCACATAAATATTTTGGTATCTTAAATAAAAATACATCACTTTTGGTAACATTTTTGGGCTCATAATAAACCAGTCCCACATGGCGACATACTAAGTAATCCCTCGTCGTAAATGCCTCACATCTCGTGTTGTCTTCTCAAGAAAGAGCATTACACGCCAATAAAAGATAGTCAGCTATCTTTTGATCCGGTAAAACAGCTTCAAAAGCTTGTCGCTCATCTAAACCAGTATTCAAATGATACCACTTACATGTAATGTCTTAAACATGTCGGGAAATCGGCAAGCCGAATAGCTTTTGCAAATTATACTGGTTGACCGGCCAACAACCTATATTTCTTAGATCAGCAAAAATTTACAGTTTAACTTCATAGCAAAATCTCCCGAGTATTAGGTATTCCAGTATTTTATTCCGTCATAGAGAAAATGCTCTTAGATTGTGGAAGGTTTGCAAGCTAACAATTGAGTAAAGTAATAATATTATCAAGTGAATATTCAAGATAATTGTTTTGAGGTTTTCCTTAACTACATTTTACCTGATTTTCTGATGTAAAATAAGACAATAGGCGAGAGAAATGCATAGTTTCTGCAAGAAGTCACGGAAAATTTATATAATACATATATATAGCCCTCAGTCGTCCATATGCATCTTTTATTGTACTTTGCCATCTGAACTATCCTTTAATCTAGTATCCAAGTATTCAATGCACTGAAAATCTTCACTCGGTCTGACAACTATTGTAACTTCAACGCCACGTTTCGCTACATACTACTTACAAACATTTTTGTGAGTAGCGTTCACTACACCAGTATCTAAGATATAAAAATGAATTAATAATGAAATGTTATTCTATTTTGTCATTTTGGCTTATTTAGAAAAGACATCTGATAAAAATTATTTTACCATTAATTATTGTTATTTTATTTTTACTTTATGTCATAGGAATGTACCGTTCTGAGATCGGAGCTTGAAGTTCTTTACAAAGCATTTAATTCAAAATGTCAGGCAGTCAAGATTTTGACGAATAATGTAAGTAACATCAAAATAGACCATTAATAGTTATAATATGCCAAAACCCCATCATATGTACGTATGCCAGCCTAAGGACAGTATTATCCAGCTTCTGATCTTTATCGTCATTAGATGAGGCAGCTATCAAGACTGTTGGTCATCGGTTGAAGTTTGAGCAACTGAATCGTGGAGGTGTAGATTTATATAATTGAATGTTGATAGTTATGTTAACAACACTAGTGTAGCATAAACTTGCGAGTATTAGCATATAATTTTAATCGGTAAAACGCACTGCTTCTAACACTGATCATTTGACCTTTGTACAATCTTGTCGATGAATAACCTTGACTTTGACTATTCAAAACTTGGATAGAATTAATTAAAAGAATCACCACACTGGTTAAAAGTATGGAAAATATGGGGGACTGAAGGTCAGTGGGAACCAAATATTGTGAAACTGTGATATTATTTTTCAAGTGGACAAATGTCAGTCATTGTAAATGAGAATATAATGTAAATGTTGTAAAATAACAAAGATAATAGAATGAATGAAATTTTCGCGTTTTAGTTGAAGGTACTCGAGTATAATGCATCAAAAATGATAGGATTACATGTCGTCTAAAGATGGAAAAAAATATAGCTGAAAAATAAGTCCCTTAAACACCACCAAGTACGTACAGTTACTTACGCAATGAGGGTCCTGGATTAATTTTAACTGTTGAAAACTGAAACTTTATTAATCTATTAATTTTCCTAATTAGTTTCCAGATAAATTAGTCAGTTTTACATACGGGTCGACTGAAGTCGACTGGACTAGTTACATTAAACGAAGACTGTTGTTCTCTATCAACGAGGAACACGAAAGTTTTAGTTTAACTACTATGACCTGGTATACTGAAGTGTTCAAAATGTGTAGGACGATTTAAAACGATTGCATCCATGTTACTACGACCGATTTTAAGCCATATCACGTCTGGTTCGCAATTATAGCTTGTGAATTTCTCACGAAACCCAACCGGAAAACCCTTATTACCAACATCACTCTGATCAGTAGTCATATACCATTAACTTGTTCGTTCCCTCTATTCTTTAAAAAGCCAACTTTTATTACATCTGGCAGGACGGGCCGAGATAGGAGATGGCTGGAACTGTTAGCAAAAACAATGTTCAGGTTTAGCACGTGATAATAACCACAATAAGCAAGTCATCGGAAGTAATGTCAAAATATTTTTGGTCGATAACAGTACAATAATCATCCCGTAGTACCTACCATAATAATCATAGTCACAGCTAATTAAGAAAAAATAAGTTATGGTTAAGCTCTTTTTCGGAGAAGCATTCACTATTCTTTTGTGACAATTACGCTTCTATAAATGAGGGGTTTGTTGATAACTGATTAACCTATTTCTAATTTTATCTTTGAGAATAAAGAGAAAGTAAACCATCGTTTGACACAATTTACTAAACTAAAAGTCATCATTTGAACATGGATTATTTCTCCTACATCCTTGTTTCATGTGTTTTAATCCATACATCCGCCTAGATCCCACTTTTGCTCAGCTTTTCAAAGAGTTAAATCACCATTAGCTATAGGGAGCCATTTTGGGAATTTCAATACGAGGAAGTAATATATCTTGTAATTTATTTAAAATATGATAAGGCAGTGCCTGCTAATGAATAAACAATATATAATTTCATTGGAAAAGCCTTTATAGACAATAATTTAAAGATTAATTTGGCTTCATGATTAATAGGGGAAAGTAGTCGAATTTAACAACTTCATATTAAGTTTTAAATAATCAGAGAATGCACATTTACAAAAGTTTGCCAACATCCTTTTAAATAGTAATTCATTTACGTGAGTTCACTGTTATATCCCATAGCAAAAAAAGCATAATTTTATGAAAAGTTACTAGAAATACGTTTCTCAAACAACCACTGAGTTTTTATAATCTGTAATATTGTAAAAATAACTGTTTTATTGAATACTTTATTTTTACTTCACGTATATACTATATATTAAATATTCCCGGAATCTTCATGTTAGCCAATATTGTTGTAGATATTTTGATAAAAATCTAGGGTTCGCATAGTAACTGTATACTAATCACTCACTGGCTTTATAAATATCAGCTGTCTTAATAATAAGATTTTTATTAAAATATGTTAATACTGAATTTACCTTTCGAATAATTTCGTAAATGAAAATGTATATTATAAAAAAGTGTCACGAATTAATTATTTCTGTGTGTAAGAAAAACAATTATTTCACACTAGTTTGTTGATTCACGGACAAAGTTGTATTTTGATAACCGCTGCAGTATATTCTGATTGACAGGTCCAACATTCTTATTGTTTGCCTGGCACAGATTTTGTATTGTGTAAAAAAAGCATCAATTTCAACTGTAAGTCATGAATCAAGGAAATAACTGTTTCACTAAAATCACGAACCAACCAATGTTAGACCACCATTGAAAACCCGTAAGCACTGGACGGCCGTTCCGTCCTATTATGGGAATCCTTGACAGTGCTCATCAAGGACCCCACTCACGGGATTCGGACCCAAGACCTTTGGTCTCGCGCGAACGCTTAACCTCTAGACCACTGAGGCGCCTTCCAACGATGCTATTGTATCACTTCAACCAATCCACTATTAGGCGCGACCATCTTCCATTGTCTGCGGTGAGTAAGTGTCTCAGCCGACATGGTTGAACTCCACTGGTCACAGCTTCTCATAAGAACCCCGAGAACACCATCTCGGAGCTAATCACAAGTAGACACATGGGAAATTTTAGTTTGGCGTTGTGGAGACAGTTAAATGTCATTGAAATAACTGTTGGTAATAAGTGAGTACAAGACAACTATTTCATCTTATGAATTATGTGTCGTAACAGATCATGCTACAAATTAAGATTTCGATTATGCAGTCTGAGTGGTTCATACTCAGTTATGTGGTTATTAGTGAATATTTACTGCTTAAGAGCGTATGTGTCTATTGACAGAAAGAAACACTTATGCTATTTGATCTAAATGATTTTTCCTTTCATATCGTAGCAAATTATTCCGTGAGAATAGTTGATTAAGTAAATAAGTAATTTTTAAAATAATTAGAAAATTTTGACTTTTAATTGCAAACCTTTTAAAACATAATCAACAAGACCACACTATTTTCGATTCTAAATCATTAAAAATGCTTTTCTACTTAGGCGATTTTGTGAAAATTTTGTATAACTTATAAACGGCTGTTTTCATGAACTGATGTCAATAGGTGAACTGCTGAAAACTGAGAAGCACTGTAGATCGTTTTTCCCACTCGAAGTTATTTGGAAGTGCATGTCTGTAACTTCATACTAGGCTAGACCCAGAATTTTGATTTTATAAATAAAAATATGTATTATCTCATCGAGATTTAAAGCGTCAGTCTCTAAGTAAACGCATCAACACTTTATTAGTTAAACTAACTTAATCAACTTCTTACTACTTAACCTGATTCTGTCTTATGTGCATGAGTTTTATCCTTTAGCTACTGCATTTTCAAAAAGCTTGAAATGTGAAGTATATTGAGGTTAGAAGAGAGATATTAGATCTGTATTGTAACAAAAACTGTTTACAATCCCACTTTTTATACATACATATCAGACGATATTTTGTCATAAACGTTTTTGTTTTTTACTTCATTGAGTGATGAGAGTTGCAATGAATCCTCGTTAATATAACTACATTATCTAACGTGTCTTCATGAAAAACTTCACCAAGGGTATAAATTCCAATTATTGCTAATCCATTTAGATCCCTTGATCCGACCTTCTCAGTGTGTACTATTCCAATTTCCCCACTTCTAGCAAAAATTAAAGTGCACATTAGTTACTTTCAAGAAATCTGTTGTTGGTATACACTAATAAGTTTTCGTTAACTATGTTTATTTATATGTCCCTCTCGATAGTCAAATATGCGATTCAGTTACACTATACTGGAAGTGAACTATGAAATGTTTATAACCAATTTATTAATGTAATTCAATATGATAAAGATTGTTTGTTAAATAAACTAGTGTTAATCGTTCAATCATTTCGGTTGTATTGATCCACCCTAGTTAACTAACCTAATATGAATAAGCAGTAGACCTATTAGATATAACGTTGTATGGTTGAGATTAAGTTTAAATGTATTAAATATTTAATTACTGAGAGTTTTAATGTTTCTTCACGCAATTTCCCTTAAATATGAACTAAATCATAGATACCAGTCAGCTAATTGACTTCCTATTTGTTTTAATATTGTTCATTTGCTATTTCGTACCCTCACATAGCACTAATCTTGTATATGTTTGGTAGCAGTAGTTGTTGTAGCATAAATGATTTTAAGTATCGGTCCATAAGCATAATTACTAAATTATCTGGTATTTCAACTGCATGCAATGTGTCTGTTTATTTGAATAACTTTACTAAACTGTGTGATGGGGAACGCAACGAAGAAATCGGTTATGTTTGACGATAAAACTCAATGTGTAGCAATATTCTTCCTGTAAATCATATAAATAGAATAATGTAGAATATGAATATCAGAGAGGAGGAATATGGATAAAAAGGAAGTCCTTCCTAGACAATGCATTCAAAGAAAATAATAGGGAATGAGCATTTAGGAATCGAACTATCTTCTATAAACAGCAATTAACTCATGAATGTGTGAAGAAATTATCGTTGCCTTGGAATAGGACCCATGAGTGTCCTTCCGGTTGGCTTGGCACTACTACTCCATAAACACCAAAGTGAACTCTACTCAAATGTATATTTCAAAAGTGTCCTGTCTAACAAACAATCCAAGTCAATTAATAGTTTTATTTTTCAATATCTGATTTATTTAAATGACATTGGTTCACCCAGATTTACCCTTAAAAAAATCGTTACAGTTAAACCTAGTAGTTAAGACGAAGTTCTGACTTGCCAGTTATACAAAACAGTTTATTAAAAACTCACTTATATATTCTACAAAACAGAAGAATACAAGTAATATCCATCTAACATAAGAAAATGCAATCTGTCTATCCTCTTATTTCCCTGTAGACACAACCCACCGTCTTTCATTTCTTGTTATTAGTTTTACTACTATATTTGATATCCTTTACATATACCTGTTATCACAATTTTTATTTCCTGTTGCTGATTCATTTTACATGATTCACTTTTTAGAAATTCCTTGGGTCTTTTGAATCTATATCCAGCTTTATATAGCTTTGTTGATTAATACACAATCCTTTTCATACCCAATAATAGATTTATCATTCTTACCTTGACCATTTTTGCTTTGATCACATAATTTTATTTCATTGACAATAATGAACTCGTAAATTTACGGTGGATTTAGGTACACCTGTACAATTTTAGGAGAGATATCTTAGGAGAAGGAAATGGTTACAAAATAGCTAAAATGTCCAGGCATTCCTAAAAGTATACAACACTTGTAAATGAATAAAAACTAACTGACAATATAAAAAGTAATCGGCTATGTGAAGTCAGATTTCTAAGGATTTAAAAGAATAAGTGAATCAACACTTCAAGCTAAAAGAAAACAGTTGATTTTTTAATTTGAGGATAATAAACTCAACGAATATTTTGACCGGTATCTGACATACAGAAGATTGGTAAATTTGTTCTTGAGTTTTTTTTGTAGAGATCGTGGTAATTTTATTGGTTGAATTCATGAGTCGATATAAGCTAGACCACCATGGAAAACCTAGAAGCATTGGACTGTCATTTTGTCTTAGTATGGGACTCCACAGTCCCGCATGCGGGACTCTAACCCAGGACCTTCAGTTTCACACGCAAACGCCTAACATCTAAACCACTGAACCGGTATCCAACAGTGTTAATGTTCAACTTCAATCTATCCACGATCTTCCGCAACCATTGTCTGAGGTAGATACCTGGCTCTACCCAACACGGGTTGGACTCTGCTGATCACGACTTTTCTGCTTCTCTACACTGCTGAGAAGTCCCATGATAGAACGAAACGGTCGTCTAGTGCTTCCAGGTTTTTGGTGGTGATCTAGTTTACATCGAATCATGAATTCAACTATTAAAATTTGTTCTTATTAAGAGGTTTTAACATACTTTGCGAATAAACGATCGAAATTTCTTATTTTATGAAAGCCACTCGGTTAATAGACGACTTATTTAATATTTTTGTGATTGTAAACTAATGTCATCTGGAATTCATTGAAAATCAGGGAGTATTAAAATATAACAATATGCTCTCCATGAAGCCTGAAGGTTCAATCTTGTATGAAGTCATAGGTGTATATTGCGCAAGATCAGAAGGCTGCGACTACCGGAGTTTCATATCTCGCAAACAGAACAATACTCTTTGATTCCTAATCATTCTCCGAACGATATTTGTCTCTGGAGAAATTTACATATAAACATCCCCGTATATTCAATGGCACTTTCTGTAACCATTCTGTATTTTGATTTATTACACTTAAAAAAGAAGAAACATTGTCTTATATAAAAAGACCACAAAGAGCTAGTCAGTCAGTCAGAAGTAACGACACCAAATCAGCGCAGAGAGATGAAAATATCAAGACGAGGGCAGTAATAGTAGTAGAGGCAGTACCAATATCAGTGATAGTAGTAATCATAGTTAATATAAGCTACAATATAAAACACATAAGGTATTCATCTATTTATTGTTATTGTCGTGGACAGTGACATTTTAAGTAGTTGAGATTTTTTCTCACATGTTAAATTTATTGAATATTGAAGAAAAATTTCATTTACATTTTATAGAAACTCACAGAGTTAAGTAAATATGATAGAATTATTTTCGGTATACCTATAAATGTAGTGACTAATTAATTTTCAGTTATTTATTATCAGCTTCCTCTTATACATTAATTTAAACAAAAAAAGGTGTATTGTATCCAATACGCACGTGAATCTACGTATGTTTTCATCATTTATAAACGTGAATGTATTATTAATAACAAACTATGCTGTGATACCATTATTCACATTAAAATGATACAGTCATTTATTAATTACCTACGTTTGTAGTTTAGAATTGAAAGTACTTAATGTTAATTCAAGTTTTACATGTACTTGTATGTATGTTCTCATGAAGAGAGAGTTGTTTTTAAAGAATGTAATCATAATATTGTGTATATTGTTCCATGTATAATATCATTAATTTAATCTGTAGAGCGATACACATGACTATTGTCGAAAAGCTCTAGGATAAAAGTATTTTTACCTCATATTCCTTCACTTTTAAGCGTGGTTCACTGAATAAGATATTATGTTATGTTTGGTCATATAGCTCTTAATATTTACAACAAAGTTTATCATCATGAAAAACTGGTTTATTTGTTCCAAAGCATAATAATTTTAAGTTTTGTTTTTAAAACATTGTCAAAATAAATTAAATGTATCGCTTACGCGCGGTGTTTGAAAATTTAGAAGTGGGTTGGAATAAATATGGAGGCTCTCGAACCATGACATGCTATCAGTTCTTGAAGTCATTGGGTGTTTGACTAAACCGTTTAGATAGATGCAGACTATCTGGTTGGGGTTCAAGTGATTATTGTGAGCGATAGTTCAAGACGTTGTATGATATAGCTTAGAATCGGTGGCAGATTGCCCAGATTACTTCACTAGTTATCTTCCCCTAGATCGTCAGTCAAATATCACTAGACACAGAAATAAACCAATGCATATATGTGTCAGGCTCTAGGTTCCTAATGTCTGATTGTTCAGTCATCATTTACGATATATATATATATATATATATATATATATATATATATATCCAGTAAGTACTTAAATAATATAGTATTTATGTATTATTAATGGTGTAAATCTTTAATTAGGACCATTATTACTCTTTCGCTAATAAAAATAACGAAATATTGCATTGGATAATTAATATATACTTACTACAATGATTAAAATATCCTGAATAAAGTTTTGTAGATGAGCTCTGTAAATAATAGTGTGGGTGAGCTTTAAGATACATTGAAACTACTAAATATATAACCATATTATTGATATGACTAATAACAATAATAATTGATCATTAATACTCTTGTTTTACTGCTAAAATTTTAATTAGAGAAAAGCAAATAAGACAACTTAAACAATAATTGACTTTTTGTTATATCCCGTGGAGATTTATGAATGGTAACTTTGAGAACTATCTATAGACCAATATGATATGTATATTTCCTATTGTATAATTGTTAACTAACTAAACTATTTATATTCGCATCCTTCTTATTATAAGCTTTATTTTGACCTACAAACTATTATTATACGATTTACAACTCTTGAGTTATCCCCAGTCTATTGATTACTGTTCACCCTATTCACAGCCACATTTTGCCAAATCTTCTACAAATATTATTTTCTATTTTATGGTACGATGTGGTCAGTTTGATTGGTATGTAAACTCAGTATGTTTGTGAATAATGACTCATATTGCAGAGGCTGTTATTGATGTTCTGGGCTTAACTGGCTGGGCTAGAGAGATAGCAGGACTGAAAAGTACTCAAGACTGCTAATACGGATATTGTGTATCATTGGGCGATCAATAAAATTTACTGCTCTCTAATTCGCGGTCATATCACGTCATATATATCAACTGGGCAAAAACGCACGCCAATCGATATAACACTGCATTTTAAATAAAATATAATTTTCTTTTATAAGAGTGGTGGCTTAATGGTTACAAAAGGCAGAACCTTCGACTAATAGGCTACAGCTTCGCAGCTACCTCCTCATACATATACTTTAGTTTAAGCAACCACATGATATTATTATCCTTCACATATTAACAATATGTATTTTAAATGTATGTATCATAAAGTTAATATCTGCTTTTAAGTAACTCTCGTTTTTCCTAAAAATAAAATCCATTTTACTATAATTTTAGACATTTCAGTCAGCTGATGAAAATGATCAAAAACAAAATACTGTTTACGCTTCAACCGTTGAATTGGAAAAGGTAAAATTAGTATTAACATAATTATTTCAAATTTATTTTCACAGGTATGCTAAACTTATTATCCATAGTGATTTCTTGAACACAGCATGATACTGTTAAGGAACTACACCTCATTATATGTCATTCCAACCAAATACTGTTCACGAAGAAACGTATATTGCATACTTTAAATACTTTTAAAAATATGTCGCTTAATTGATTAGGAATGAATGCTCCAAATACTAAATGTTATGCTTGAAGTAATTAGGCAAAAAGTATTTCTAAATAAGAAAAATTAGAATCAATGAATTTAAGTAGGGACATTTCATTCGAATTCATAACACACATTGTTTTTAAAGATAGTGTTCGTCATTGTCTGGAAAATAGCTCAAAAATGAAGGACGAATAAAAGAAGCTCGAGAATAATGTCTTCAAGTCTGGAAGATAATGATGCCTTTGAACTATGAAGTCGGAATACAGTGATTTACATTTACAAATTTAAGCACTTAACCCTCTAGCAGGACAATCACCCAAGAAGTTCAGTGTAGATTTTCTTATACTTAACATGTTTAAACTCTACCAGTCATCATGTTCATATGGAATCCATCTTGAAGTCAGTAATTAACTAGGTGAATCCATGTTTACTTGACTGTTAATAATACTATGCACCAGTGATGCTAAAAAGTTACTGGAAATTACAGTTGTATACGTGGTGATGGATCAACTATCTTGTATAGTTGAGAGTCTTCGCCGATACCACAGAGGATAATTTTAACCTCTTATCATGCAAACATAATACAAATATACAGTACTATCAGGAGTAAAGCGATATATAATTTATAGAAGAATACATATAAGCAATAAATTTAGATATAAGCGACGGAACTAATTCTAGGTATGAATAATTTTCAGCATAGAAAATCTTCTTCAAGATATCATTTTCTGAGGTTGTAGTCAATTTAGATTAAGTGATGTTGCATAATATTGCCGAGACTTTAAAAAATCTTCAAGTATTTCAAGTAATAATTTATACATAAGAAAGTGTTATTTTAATTCATTTAGGGTTTTCAAGTATCGGAAAAAAAACATTGCATCGTCTAACAAAGTAATCAATGATCATCCACAGCTTACGTGACATCATAGTTTTAGAAGTAATAAAAAGTAACAGCCAATGGAATCATCTGTAGAATAAAAGATAAAGTTAACTGTAAACTTAATAAAAGAAGAGAATAAGAAGGCAATAATTAGCACTTATAGTTTTGAAACATCGGAGAAGGGGCTAAGACCATGGGAGAATGAGAGATTGAACGTGACTCTTCTGTATTGAGAGTTCGGGTTTGAAATGATGAATCGCTATAGCCCCAGCTGTGCATAAATTCCTCATCCGAAACTTTTTGAGTCAGTTCTTGTTACTTTGTAGAGGATTTTGAACTCAGATACACGTGATGGGGTGTGGCTTCATTTAACCATGTGTTCGAGCACTAAGCAGTTGTTTGATTTACATACCCCTTTAGATAACCATGCATCGTTAGTCGTCACGTGAAATTTGACTACATCATTTCAAATAAAGATAGATAGATAGTTTTCAACTGCATCATCACCATTACTCCCTTTAAACTGAAGATTTACAAACGGTTAATTCTCTGGGCCGGTGGGTGTAATTTGTAATTGCTTTTCTATTTCATAATTTTCATCATAAATCTCAATAGATGTCTGCTCTTTAGGATAGTGGATTTCAAAATGAATAATTTATGAGCTCTGAAAGGTCCAATGAACAAACTTTACGATATTGTGATCATCGAGAGTGAATCAGACTTATTTTAGCTAATGGAACCCAACTGTGCAAAATGACTAGTTATCTGTTCTATGTAGGTCTTCCATACATGGATCCTTGTGTTGACCCTTCATTTTCTTTAGTAAGTAAGAAACCAAGACAAGGAAATTTTGGTTAACATTCTTATACCACTGTAAATTTAATTGACGGATAGGAGTTGATGATATCTTGGATATAAAACTTTTGATCATATATAATGAATGTGTCATCAATTTGTCTCCTATACAAAGACAATTTATTAAATGTCATTTTTAGGCTACTAATTTCGACGATGACCATGAAGAAGGAGGCTAGTAGTAGACTCAGTGGAGAAACCGTTGTGATACCACCTACATATCTATATATCTCATAATTAAATAAGAATTGTACATTTAAGGTGAACCTCATGATAATTTCTTTTAAGTGAGCTATAGAAACCCCTGGATCTATCCCATTGTATCAGTATAAATACGAACGAAACATATCACCAGGGATTGAAATAAATTCATATAATTGCTTTCCCTATCATACATGGTACTGTCATTTATGAAGTTATTTCAAGCATGTGCAGTTAATTAAAGGTTTGGTTTAGTACAACTTCATACAGGTCTCTACTATAAACATTTGATTATCTGACAAATCGATCTAAGTCTCTAAGTTATTCAGTAGTAGGTTAGATTTATTTCATAAGAATGATCAAATGTTTTTTTTAATAAAAATATTTCATTAATCTTGTTTATGTTAACAGTATACTCTAAAAATTGATCACTATGACTTATTATAAAACATTATTTATACACGGATTAGCTATGAAAAGTAATTCAAAATCCCTAATTAAGGTCAATCTATTTCTAAACAATTTGCGTAGGATTATCTAACTTAATCAGTATGCTTATATTATACTTTGGCGACACTCACTACATTATATAAGTACATTTCTCAAGTATTGCCTCTACTTGTAGATCTACCACAAAAATTACTTTGTTCATTCACGACAGTTTTCTTTGTTTCAGTTCTGCTGTTCCTTTTGTTAATATTGTTCACATTCATTAGATTTCACAATTTGTTCTCAAGACTAACACTTATGTATTGACTAAAAACGGCTTAAGTGATTTTACTAAATTGATAAATATGTGTTGATCACATAGCCACTTTTTTTTACAATATTTATGAATAAAGTGTTTTCAGCTATGTTCTTTGCCATGAGTAAATAATTTATGTCAAAACGTCAAGCTACAGACAACCTTCATTAAGGCAATTCACATATAGTGGACTACTAAACATATTTCGCACCGGTTAATCATAGATTATATTCACTAGAGATTTGATCTTTCAAACTTTTATTTCGATGGTGTTGCGTTTAATGGGTTGAGTGGTTCAATTGAGAATCCTTCATCATCGTTCCATATAACATCAGTGAATACCGAAATTACTCAGCAAGTAATAAATCAAACCGTTCTGATACTTTTTCCAGTGACTGGTTAACCTTATATTCGCTATCTTTATATGCATTTTAATCACCATTGTCCGTTATATTAGACTGACCCTTAAGCTTACTTACGCCTGTTACCCCCAATGGAGCATGGGCCACCGACCAGCATTCTTCAACCCACTATTTCCTGGGCCTTCCTTTCTAGTTCTATCCAATTTTTGCCCATTTTTCTCATTTCTGTCTCCATTTCTCGGCGTAATATGTTCTTCGGTATTTCTCTTCTCCTTTGGCCTTCAAGATTCCATGTGAGGGCTTGTCTTGTGACGCAATTCGGTGATTTCCTCAATGTGTGTTCTACCCACTTCCAGTGCTTCTTCCTGATTTCTTCCTCTGCTGAAATCTGGTTTGTTCTCTCCCACAGTAGGTTGTTGCTGATAGTGTCTGGCCATCTTGCATAGACAACTGTTAATAAACACCTGTATCTTCTGGATGATTGTTTTAGTAGTTTTCCAGGTTTCCACTCCATACAGTAGAACTGTCATTTGTATTGAAAATTCTGACTTTGGTGTTGGTTGACACACAGTTGTTTTGAGTTCCAGATGTTCTTCAGTTGTAAATATGCTGCTCTAGCTTTGCCGATCCGCCCCTTCACATCTGTATCAGATCCACCGTGTTTATCAACGATACTGCCCAGATATGTAAATGTTTTCACATCCTCCAAAGCTTCTCCGTTAAGTGTAATTCGATTGGTGAATGCTGTATTGTATCGGAGAATCTTGCTTTTCCTTTTGTGAATATTGAGACCTACTGCTGCTGAGGCTGCTGCTACACTGGTCGTTTTCTCCTGCATTTGTTGTTGCGTGTGTGATAGAAGAGCCAGATCATCTGCAAAGTCTAAATCGTTCAGCCTCATCCTAGCTGTTCATTGTATCCAGTGCTTTCCTCCAGGTGTTGACGTCTTCATGACCCAGTCGATCACAGGTAGAAAGGGAAAGAGTGGGAGTAAGCAACCTTGCCTGACACCGGTCTTTACTCCAAACGGGTCTGTCAGCTGCCTTCATGCATGATTCTCCAATTTAACCCAACATAGAGATTCCGTATGATATTGACTATCTTCTCAGGCACGTCGTAGTGTCGAAGAAGCCTCCATAGTGTCGTCCTGTCCACGCTGTCAAATGCTTTCTCGCAGTCAATGAAGTAGATGTGGAGTGATGAAATCCATTCGGTCGATTGTTCCACAATGATCCATGGAGTTGCGATTTCGTCTGTACATGGTCGATCCTTACAGAATCCAGCCTGTTGATCTCGAAGTTAAGCGTCTACGGAGTCCCTCATTCTGTTTAACAATACTCTGTTGAAGACTTTTCCTGGTATTGATAGAATAGTGATGCTCCTGTAGTTATCACACTTGTTGAGATCGCCTTTCTTTGGCATCTTGATCAGAAGTCCTTCTTTTCAGTCTGTTGGTACTTGTTCTTCATCCCAAATCTTACTGAAGAGAATGCGAAGTATCTTTACAGTTGCTGCTACATCTGCTTTCAGTGCCTCTGCCGGAATGTTGTCTGGTCCTGCTACTTTGCCGCTCTTGATCTATCTGATGGCCATGCCGATCTCTTCAATTGTTAGTGAGCCAAAATTGATTGGGAGGTCCGTGGGTGCTGCTTCTATGTCGGGTGGGTTCAGTGGAGCTGGTCGATTCAAGAGTTCTTTGAAGTGTTCTACCCATCTGTTTCGTTGATCTTCAATGTTGGTTATTACCTTGCGTTCCTTGCTTTTCACTGGTTGTTCTGGTTTACGATAATTTCCAGTGAGTCTTTGCTGTGTCTTGCAATCGTCTCATGTTTCCTTCTCTTGCAGCCCTTTCCACTGTCATTGCGAGATCTTCCACATATTTACGTTTGTCGGTTCTGATGCTCCTCTTCACTTGCTTGTTTGCCTCTGTATATTCGGCTTGTGCCTTGGCTTTTTCTGCTCTTGTTCGTCTGGTATTGATTGCTGCCTTCTTGTTCCTCCTTTCTTCAATTTTATCCAGTGTACCAACAGTGATCCATTCCTTGTGATGGTGCTTCTTTTGGCCCAGAACCTCCTGACATGTTGAAACGATTGCCTCCTTGATACCTTTCCAGTTGTTCTCCATTGTAGTTCCCTCTCCATTGAGCAGATCGTGAAAGGCCTGGAACCTGTTGCTGAGGGCTACGTTGAATTTGTTGAGTTTGTCAGCATCTCGAAGAAAGGCCGTATTAAACTTTTGTGATGTTGTCCGCCCAGTTGTCCAGTACTTCTTAAGTTTTAGTTTGATCTTGACGACCAGCATATGATGATCGGATGCTATACCAGCTCCTCTTCTGGTTCTCACATCCTCCATCGTCCTCCTGAACTTTTTGTTGATGCAGATATGGTCGATTTGATTCTGTGTAGTGTGATCCGGTGAAATCCAAGTTGCTTTGTGTATGTTTTTGTGTGGAAATATGGTGCCACCTATGACCAGTTTATTGAAGGCACATAGGTTTGCAAATCTCTCACCATTTTCGTCCATGTTGTCCCATGACGTATTCGTATCCAGTGTTGTCCTTTCCATCCTTGGCATTGAGATCTCCCATCAGAATTGTCAGGTCTTTGGTTGGGCACTTCTCGAAGATCGACTGCAGCCTATCGTAGAATTGATCTTTAGCGTCTTCATCATAGTCATTGGTAGGAGCATAGCATTGGATGACGTTCATTTTAATGCCTTCTGTCTTTGTTTTGAAGGAGGCTTTGATGATCCTCGGTCCATGAGATTCCCATCCAATAAGTGCATTTTGTGCTTTTCTGGACAGCATCAATGCAACTCCTTGTGTATGTGGGGCATTTTCTTCTTCATGACCGGAGTATAACAGAAGCTCCCTTGAAGCTAGTTTTTGTTGTCTAACCTGCGTCCATTGTGTTTCGCTGATTCCAAGGACCTCCAGCTTGTATTTCCTCATTCCTGATGCAATTTGGAAGATTCTCTAGGTCTCCCACATTGTACGAGCAATCCATGTATCTAGATAAATGGTTGCTCTGGTTGTGAGAAGAGGCATCGGCCTCGTGGCTTCCGAAGGAACTCGGCTTTCACCATGAGGCGCAATAATTCTTCTAAATGAAGACCTTTTGACTCCCAAGGCACAGTTCAAATGGTTTGGATAATATTTTCTGGTTAGCGTTTTTTTAGAGAGTTAGTTTTCTACGGGATATATAAAAAATGCTTAATCCTCTCAATGTTTAAGCTAGAAACTCTATGCGATGTTAGAATATCCGAACTATTTTTAAAAAAACCTGATAATCATCAAACCTTCAACTACCTAACATCGTAATTACTAACAGAGTACTAATGTCTAGCTTTAACATGAAATTATAGCAACCATCTACAATCAATTTCGATTATAGCCAATTTGGGTTAAGCCCTTTTTTATAACTTACTTAACAGACATCGTCATTTGGATAGTAACAATTTCCATATTCTTTGCACTGCTATACCACTAGAGCACATGACACTCTAGCCGAAATGTTGACTGCTTAAATATCATTCGATGACTCATACTCCTCCCCATATATGTACGCACACAAATATTATTATCAGCCTTTGTTTTGCTTTGCTGTGCCCTTATTAAATTTGATTATAAATTGCCTATGTAATTGCTTGCTATTTGCTCGCTTGCTCCTCGTTCGTTTCCTTCGCTTGTTTGCCTGTTCACTTGCTCGTTCATATTCGCTCAGGTGTTGTTAGCTTTCGAACCTGAGTCATTCGACAATAAACTGTAGTTGCTGCTATCCTTTGTCTTCTGATTTTACGCACCGTTAAGATTAGGATTATAACGGTTAACGAATCGCGACACTACAAATTTACCAAAATTCTACTAAAATGCAGTTACATATAGAATCAACCAGGTTGAAAACGATCCAATTACTTTACAATTATATTTAATAAGGATGGCAATCATATTACATGTTTAAGTGGGAAATGGGGTACATTAGAGATGTCCATATGGTTTTGTACTCAAAAAAGGCTTACAGATTCTGGTTTGAAGGCTTCATGGGGTTGATAGTGCTCCATGTCAAGGTATTCAAATCTAAAACATAACAGTTACCCACTGCTTTCCGACATTCAGTGGTATTCGAGCTGATATCAGTCCATTTTTCAAACTATTGCTAAACTCAACAAACCTCAATAAGCTGCCTTACTAAACAATTTTCTAATTTTATCATGCTGATATTTCCTTTTTTAACCATAGTTATTCTGTATTATGAATGTGAGGACGAAGAATTTTTTTCTGTATAAATATTTGCAAACCAATAACTTCTTAATGATCAAACAATATCTGTATTTTTTATTTTCAGGAAATAAACAAACTGAAAATAGACCTTGAATTAAGTAAAGGTGCTCTGTTGTCCCAGCACCAGTCGTCTAAAGCAAAAGTTCAACAGTAAGTAATAATTCCCATTTATATTTTCAATCATTTGCAAAAGACCTAAAGTTTAACTATTTACAGTTTGATTCTATTAATATTTCATTAATTTATAATTTCTGTTCACGTTCTGAGATGAGTTTAAGTAATAGTATTGAAGTTCGTTACTTTCTCCTCAATTATTCAGGTATTATTAAAAATAGGAACACTTAATAAGAGATGGTTAGTTTATAAGCTGGAGCTTTGGTATAAAATGCTATTTGTAATGAGTTGACAACTACTGATTTATGATAACTATTTGGACAGGATCCCATAGATCATACGACTCAAAGGTGACACTTACATAAAATTCAGTGCCAGTTCTTTTGTGATTTTTATTTTAATCCTCATAAACACTAAGATATATCTAACTGAATGAAATTTATTTCACCTTTACTTTTATCTAAACCGCATGATCTAGTAACGTTTATTTCTCTTTTACATTACTTTTCTGCTCCTATTTCGTCATATCATTGTGACTTCGTTTTATGTAATGAATTTATGAATGCCCTTATCGCACCTAAAGGATTTTTGTGTTATAGATGGATTCACTTTTTTGTGATGTATCAAGGAATGATTAAAATTGTATCTTTGGTCTTCGCTTCAGTGACCAAAAGTTACTTTTGACCCTGTTTTAGGAGCAGGAAGGTGAACATTTTTGAAGAGTCCTAGATTGGTAGCAGGTACCTATCTATCTGATTCAAATATCTGACCGCTAGACAACAAAGATACAACTTATTAATGCATAGCTATTTGTATAATTTGATAAGACGAAGTTTATCAGGATTAAGTGGTACACTTACGAAACACATTTTCAACAATCTGGTCTCACACATACTTTTTAAGAGATATATGACAAATAAAAGGTCAACTAGATAAATTGAGAGATAAGGGGAACAAAGTAATAAAGTGCACAAAAACAGTGTGAAAACCACGCTGGATAATAAATCAGTATTGTCAGGGTAGTTTAAGGGTAATAACAAATTTTTGAACACATAAAGGGGGTTTCATTCTTCATATAGACAGTGCTTAATATATGCCCTTGAAAACGTTTGTACGAAACTGCGAAGGCTGAATTTATATCAACATTATGACTAGTCTCAACCGAATGTTTTGCAATGGATGATCTTATTTGGCTATTGGAATTCATTCGCTTTGCAACCACTTAGGTATGTGTTCACCTATCTTTAATTGCATCTCACGATTGCTTCTCCCTATGTACGTGTTTCCGTATATACATGTAAACTGACTGACACAAAGGAATGTGATACAATCACGTTCTTGCTGTTTGGGATTTTGGTGAAACATAGACCTCGACTTTTCTGTAACTTTGAGTTAGACCTCACAAAATGTCCCATTGACAGCTAATTTAAATCTTCATTTCATAACAAGACTATTTGAGCCATTCCCGAATGGTAGGATAAGATAGACTCGATTTTTTAAGTGCCAAAAATGTCATAGGTCTGATCGTATCGCTAGCTCACTGGCTTATAAACTTCAATGAACAACCATTACTCACTACTGTTTCAGTCAGTAAAAATAATTTTGCTTTGTTTTTCTTTTCACTAAATGACAAGTATAAATTTCTAATAACAATAAAGATACAACTGAATAAGCTTACAAGGTGAAACATAAATTGGGAAAAACGTGAAGAATTCCAAATCCAAACTGTTTAGAATTTAATAGGTAGCTACAAACTTGCAAAAAGTTTGGCTTTCTTTACAACAAATCATAAAAATAAAGCTCATTATAAACCTTCAACATTTCAGTTTCTCAGAGTTTAGAAATGATTGTTCAAATTCAAGTTCAAGAATCATAATAGAAGCCTGTGGTGAGATCAACAAACTAATTTTAAGGAATGAATGAAATAAATATAATAAAATTTAGTTAGAAAAAAGTGGTTCTTTTTTTTACAGAAATGATTGTTCGTAATGATATCGTTTTGGTTTTCCCCAGTTTTCCATCAATCTAAAATCAATCAATTTGTAATGAAGATTAGTTACTGATCTTATTGATTTATTTTATCAAGTCATCAGTCAATGTTAATGTTATATCGTATAAGTGCGTGCCCTATTTTATATATGAAAGTGCTGATTCCCGCCAATGAGAGAAGAGCGAATTATCGATTTGAGCAATGATACACAAAAGCTGTACGAGCAGTCTTGAGTACGTATCGGCCCTTCCTATCTGCCTAGCCCAGCCAGTTAAGCCCAGAACATCAATAACAGCCTCTGCAATATGAGTCATTATTCTCAAACATACTGGGTTTATATACCAATCAAACAAACCACACAGTACGAAAACAGAAAATAATATTTGTAGAAGATTTGGCAAAATGTGGCTGTGAATAGGGTGGACAGTAATCAATAGACTGGGGATAACTCAAGAGTTGTAAATCGTATAATAATAGTCTGCAGGTCAAAATAAAGCTCATGATAAGAGAAACACGAATATGAATAGTTTAGTTACGTAACAATTGTACAATAGGAAATAGACATATTACATTGGTCCATAACTAGTTCTCAGAGTTACTATTCATAATTCACCAGGGGATATAACCGTTAAGTATCACATTTCAGTTATGTATATAAGAAAAAGAAATAATTTTACTCTAATTGTAAAGAGGATTTTAAAATATCGTAAATTTTCTAATTAACAATATTGAGCTTAATATAACACTTGGATAATCGTTCTCCAATGAAATAGTTAATATATTTTGAACTAGTAGATATCAAATGGCCGTTGTTTTTTATTTTGGTAAAGTAGTCTTCATTATGAACATTCTTGCATTTGGTGATTTTTGACATACCTTTTATTTATCGAAAATAAGAACCTACTTACGTGGGTCATTGATTAATAAGTTGAAGCGTTTTCGATTACTCATTTTCCTTTCCACTATTCTGTTCTACTAAAATGATGCATCCTTGAAAATACATTCAAAGAGGCCTAGACATGATGAAGAGTAAAGGAATTTTAATTCATAATAAAAAATGCTTACAAAGTGACAGTGAACATTAGTGGCAGCAAAAGAAGTGAAAGTGATACCAAATAAGTTTTGGGATTCATGAAATCAGCAAGTCTTAGTAAGTCAGCTATCAGTCAAAATATCATGAAAAATTACTAGATAGTGATGGATTGTCAGTCTTTTTAAATAGAAGCCAGTAGAACAACTGGAGCAGCTTTCATGGGGTTTGTTGCTTTGAAGAAATTAAACAAAGCACAAACTTTGGTGCTTATACAATACAATAAATTTATTAGACTTCGTTGACTTGTTTGTAAGTGCGTACAGACTATTAATCTCCGTTAATTCAAAAGATTAATGTATTTGAAATTTTTGAGAAATGCATTATTATCAGAGATCAGTAAAATCGTAATAAGGGCTTTAAATTAATGATTTAAAAACAAAATTAAAAGAAACTTGTGAATATCAAATAACTTTACTGATCATTAACAATAACTCGTCGATTGAAAATTTCAGGTAATTTAATATTTTTACTAACGAAAGTTTTAGGTCGTATAAATCTGAGAAAAAAAGCAACGTAAAACAATGAATTCATTGTATTCTACAAAAAATTCTCATTCTTATTCAAGCGCTCTTCAATTGGCCTTCAGATACTATTCATTCCTTTATATTTTCATCAACAGCCCACTATCACAATTATGATATTGAGTTCTTCAACCTCAAGTCTGTATTTGACCCAGTTGATAGTTCTCATATTAGTTGCTGTAGCTGAGTGGTCTAGTGGTTAAGCGCTCGCGCGCGAGACTGATAGGTCCTGGTTTCGAGTCTCGCAAGGCACGATCGCGGATGCTCACTGCCGAGGAGTCATACAATATAACGAAACGGCTGTCCAATGCTTCCAGGTTTTCTATGGTGGTCTAGCTTTAATTGACTCATGATTTCAACTATATAAAATAAGTTGACTTTATTAATCTACTTATCCAATAATTATCATATAATTAAAACAAATTTCTATTTATTCAATATTTAAATGATAGATTAAAAAATGAAAATGAAAATTTAAGAAGACAATTAGAAAATTTACAATTTAAAACTGGACAATTATTAGAAGAAAATATGCGTATGTAATTGAACAGTTTAATTTTATGTATGTGCTTCAAGGTTGATTGTTTGTTTTTTCCAAATTGATAGAATTCTTGTTTTTTAAAAAAAAAAAACTTTAAATATAATCGAACTGTTATCATTATTATCAGAAGGGGTTTTTATGGAGATTTCAATCCAGTGCTTCCAGGTTTTCCTCGGTGATCTAACTTCAATTAACTCATGCTTTCAACTATTATCATCAAATCATTAATGATGAACTAGCTATTCACTAAAAAAAATGTAACCTTTATTTAGTGAAATTAGTTTATTTCATCAATAATTCTATGTGAGTAGATATATTACGCAAATATTGTAATATATATTCAATTATTACTGTTTCATATTACAATTATACATAGTTTTAGTAATCAGCTAAAATTGTTAAATATTCGTTTTGCTAGACCAATATATATATAAACCTGATCGATAAAATCCATTAATTGCTGAAAAACCCAAACAATTTAAAAAAAAAAGTTTATTCAATGTATGGTAAATGAATAAATCTAAAAAAAGTTTTGTTTATTTCACTAGTGTTGATGTGAAACTAATTTTAAAAGTATCTGTTTGAAAATCAATAAAATATTAAAGAATAGAGTATATATGATTATTATGAATGTACTATTGATTGAATGAATTCCTTTAACTAGGTAGTAAATAATGATTTGAATTTAGTAGAATTCAATATAGTGATTATATTTACAGAGTTGACTCACTATTGAAATGTTCGACTTTCAACTAACAAATGGCTAGTTTAAATTCCTATTTAACTTTTAAAATGTAAAAGGTATTTTTGCTTAAAAGCCGACCATATGAAATGAATACACAATCACTGAATTACATTATAGAAGTTTAATTTCATTTGTATTCTGCAACTATTGTTTCCTAATTTATTTTGATAAGAATAATGCAATCACGTTTATTTCGTAAGAAATAAAGCAACACCAACATTGCTATCATACGATTTTGTATCTTGGTACTTAATTCTTCTTGTTATTACTGTTACTGTGAACAACATATTTAAATCACGGTTTCATCTTTACTGGTAATTTTCCCAGTCAACTTATGAATTCATTGCCATAATTTAATTGATGACATAATTTGGACGACATCAATCTCATATAAGTCCATTTGTTAAGTTATTAAAATTTATGCTTATGGGTATTTTCAGTTTTTCTTTTGTTTTTTGCTTATGTAACATAACAGTCTAAAGAGAACAATATGTAACTATTGATATTGGTGACTGTCAGTCAGTCAATTACAACGTAGAACTTCGTACGTACGTACATCAGTTCGAGTTGCCATACCACATTAGCACAGAGATGAAGTTGTCAATTCAAATCCCTTAGTGGTAGAAGTAGTAAGAGTATAAGCAGTAATCGGAAAGATTAGGGTTTGAAGATGTTACTGAAGGAGCATAATACAATGAAATAAATTTGGAAAGAGAAAAAGAATACAGACATGAAGAATTCAGATTAGAATTTGGTAGAACACAAAGAGTGGATGCACCTTCGCCATTGCAAACGATTTTGAGCCATGTCATTCAAGGTCTCTAACCATCGGTTGCTATCATCTCGCGAATCCCAACCAGGTAGTCTACACCTACCAACATGTCTGAGTCCACTTGTCAGTGACTTCATGGATTTATGCCATGTTTTGGTCTGGTCGCCCCCAGCTTTATTCCAACCTACTCCTACACCATAAAACATTGCTCGTCGGGGCAGTCAGCGGTTGGGCATACGTAACACGTGTTCTAGCTATCCCAACTGATGAAGCTTCACTACTTCATCAATCGATTTGCCATCCTTACCTAGTACCCGTTTCCTAACATCTGCATTACTTACCCGGTGGTCCCAGGATATACGAGCAATGTGTCGAAGACACCTATGATCGAAAACTAGTAGCCTACGAATATCCTCTACTCTTATCGGCCATGTTTCACTGCCATAAAGTAAGACGGAACGAACTGCTGCACAGTAAACCCGTCCTTTTGTTGCTAATCGGATATCTCGTCTACGCTATAAATGATGCAAGTTGGCGAAAACCAGACGAGCCTTCTGTATCCGTGCTGAGATTTCGTCACACACCAGACCACAAGGGCTGATCAGACTCCCAAGATAAATGAAGCTGTCAACACGCTCAACTACTTTACTCCCTATTATTAGTTTGGGTGTCGATGCAACCCAATCCTGAAGTAACATTTTGCACTTCGAGGGAGAGAATCGCATCCCGAACATGCCTGCATTGTTGCTTATAGTGGTCAGAAGACTCTGCATGTTGTCAGAGTCTTCACCGAATAAAACTATGTCGTCGGCGTATTCTAAGTCAACAAGTGAATCTCCCGGTAAAAGTTCAACTCCAGGAGATTGAGATGATGAAAGTGATACCTCTAAAAGCATGTCAATGACAAAGTTAAACAAGAATGGGGAGAGTGGACAGCCCTGACGAACACCACTTGAGGTAACCAATTCTGACGACAGTTCGCCATAGGCTCTAACTCGACCAGTTGTGTTCGAGTAGAGAGCCTTTATGAGGTTAATGTACTTTTTTGGTACTCCTTTCACTGACAAACACTGCCATAGAACCTCAATATCAACGGAGTCAAATACTACTATTGTAGGACGTCTGAATGCATGTCTATGTTCTAGGACCTGACGTAGAGTGAATATCTGGTCTATGCAACCACGTCCAGGTCGGAAACCAGCCTGACTTTCTCTAGTCTGCTCTTCACGAGCTTTGGTTAGGCGACCTAGTATTATTGAAGCTAATATTTTAGACACCATATTAGTCAAACTGATCCCTCTGTGATTATCACAGGAGGACTTTTGTCCTTTGTTATAGACTGGCACAATCAGTGATTGGGACCAGTCAGATGGAATTACGTCTAGTTCCCAGATTCTACCTAAAACCTCAGTCAATCTCGTTGCTAGTACTGGACCACCATCCTTAAAAATCTCAGGGGTAAACTTGTCAGGGCCTGCGGCTCTCCCTCGCTTTAGATTTCCTATAGCTTTTTCAACCTCGTAGAGAGTTGGAGGACTTACCTCAATTTGCCATTCAGGACGACTGGGGATCGTGGGTAACTGAAGTGTGGCTGAAGGCCAGTTGAACTGATCCCTAAGGTGTTCTGTCCATCGATCCAATCTCCTGGATTGAGAATGAATGATATGCCCGTCTTTATCTGAGATAGTTTCGCTAATAGTTGGATTCCTAATGCCGGTTTCTTTAATAAGTCTGAACAGCTGTCTGCTGTTACCTATTGCCGCTGCCTTTTCCATCTCTCTTGCTTTCGCTACCCACCACTGTTCACGATCATTGCGTAGGCTTCTTATTAGCCTTCGCTTAAGCTGACTCCGCTCTTTGTTATGTTCAGAGCCAGGAGGGATGAGTTTTCGAGCATCTATCAGTGCGGTAGATGCTGCCGAGATCCATTGTTTCTCCCTGACCTTATAGCTTACCTTATTAGCGGATATCACTGCTGTTTCCACAGCTTTACGGATGTCATACCACGCTGCTTCGGGGTGGACACAACTTACATGTCTGTCTAACTGTTTTTCCAGTTGTTCCTGAAATATATTCTTAGCTTGCTTATCATTAAGTAGAACCCATAGAGGCTTATCTGCAGTGTCTTTCCTACATCCAGTAAATCGCAGACAGATACGTGCTCGCACTAGAGCATGATCTGAATCTAAGCATGTGCCCCAGAATGAGCGACAGTCTTCTATCTAGCCCCTCCATCGGTGGCTGATAGCGATGTGATCTAATTGGGTCCAACGTTGGGACGAATTCGGGGGTCGCCATGTCAAAAGATGTTTTTCCTTATGCTTAAAGTTAGTATTTGCAAGAAATAGGCGGTTATCTGAGCACAACTGCAACAGACGGTCGCCATTATCTATTCTTTCCGCCATGACACCATAAGATCCACCCAGGTGTCTTTCCCTTTCACTTAGTTTACCTACTTGAGCATTAAAGTCACCTGCTACTATTACTACATCAGAACGCCTAGCTTTTCGGAGAAGGTCAGAAAGTTTCCTGTAAAACTCATCTTTTATATCGTCTGAGCTACAGTCAGTGGGAGAGTAGGCAGAGATGACGAAGAAACAACGACGAGTTTCCCTATCTTTCCGAGTCCTTACTGATCCGTTTAGTCGGACAGCACATAGACGACTGTCTACTGGGATCCAGTCTAAAAGAGCTAGTTCTGCCCTAGGACTTAATGCTATACCTACTCCAGCGAGGCCACGGGAAGCAGCATCAGGGCTTCCAGATACACGAAGCGTGTATCGAGATGGTTCTTTATTTTGATTAGGTGAGGTCAAATGAATGACGCTACTCGGATCTTGTATGCGCGTTTCGGAGACGCAGCATACATCGATGGTGTAAGATTCTAGAGTCCTATCTAAGGAAGCCTGTTGTCTTATTTGGCACAATGTTCGGACATTAAAAGTTCCTACATGTAGTTTAGAGCGAGGTTTCAGGAGACCAGGAATAACGTTCCGTGTACACGAATCGTTTGCCCTAGCGGTGCGAGGTGATAAAAGGACGTGGGAAGGGTTAGTCGTGGAGATAAGAGAGTTGTTAGGAGTAGGAAGGATTTGAAAGTGACCAACTTGGTCTCGTGTGCTGTTACGGGTATGAGGGCATTTATCACTTCCCGGCTGCCCACACCGTGGAAGGGTATTTCTTGAGGGACCTGAAAAAGAAGTTGGATTAGTGTTGGTCTTAACGACCTGGGAGCGTGACCGCAGTGCCCAAGGGACAACTGCTTGAGGCCGGTCACGCACGACCTTTTTGTGGGGGATTTTTGAAGTGTTAGCTCCGTTCTTCAAAGGACCTTACCGCCGGAGACGGAAATCCGTGGGATAAGGCGAGGTGTGCATTTTTAGGGTCGACCTTTCTTAACCCCACCCCTCCTTGTGGGAAGGCAGCATCGCTGTCATGCTGGTTGTCTGAAGGAAACACCTTACTGCCGTCACACCTCTGTACAGTCGGCAGTACGACTTCGCCTTCGGACCTTGGGGTTGCTGCTTTTAGTCTTACCGCTCTTCAACCGACCTGTCTGGCATGGTAGGACCTCGAGGAACGATTGTTCTAGCCAGCATAGCTCGATTGCTTCATCACGATAGGCAAACCCGACCACCACGTCAAGGTAGCAGCAACGGTCGGGAGTGGTGACTGTAAAATGACTAATATCTTTGACATTTGATAGGTAATCACAATGCATATAACGTAAATGAACAACTTAATATTGAAAACTCAATAATTCATTAGGGTTGTTGTTTCCTTGAAGAATTCATAAGTCGTGTTTAAATTTTATGTACGTTTTTATTGCATTTACTTCCTTTTATTGTTTTAATGAAAAACTAACCGATTTCCAAATGTTATTTAAAGAATTTCTCAAGCTCATCCGCATTTCTTAGTCTTGCTATACTTATCAGTTGAAAGCACCTTAGCAACTGAATATTGATAGGTTTAACTTAGCTCTTAATAAGGTACAAGTCATACATCATTCCATTTTGAATTTCTTGTAAACATCAGAGGGTATCCATCTTAAGTCTAATTAGTTTATCCACAAACAATATCTTCACTCGTCACAAAAACGGTTACAAATGAAGACGTACATCTGTCAATCACTGTTTGAAAGTGTATTTCTCGTATATATTCTGAATCTTAAAAAGTTGAACTAATATTAAGCGGAAATTGATAATGACACATAGCATGGATAAATAATACTGTAAAAAATATGTTGCATCCTAATCCATACCTTTACAGTGGTTATAGCTTTCACATTTTCTTTATTTAATGTCGAAACATTCTTGTTCTTTTAAATGTCGAATATCATGTGAGGCTTACTAATTTTACGAATATCCTATTTTCTATAGCTGGAACAATCTTAAAGAGTTCATAAAACCGAATAGCCCGTAAGCAAACTTAAAAATGATTTGTTTTCATATTGAAATAATAATATTGAAAATAATCCCCGGTAGATCATATCAATATTCTGGAAACATCTAAGGTCTAGTTGGCAAACTTAAAGCCACTTAACTAGAAAAGATTCTTCAATAATATCTAAACATAATAGATATTTTATCTAGTAAATAAATATAGATGCATAGCTGAAACTGTAAACATTTTACTTGGAATTCTTTATGGTTATAGTTTAGACACTAGATAAATTAGCCCATTCCATGTAGCCACATATATGTTTCGAAATATCCACTCAAATTTGGTGACCGCTATTTCGAATTGGATCCCCTTATTGAAATAAGAAAAGTTCTTAATGGATTTCATACACTATGACAAGACTGAGAGTAAATCTGTAAGCAATCTTCAATAAGAATGCATGGAGTCCTAGAAAAGTCAATCTCAGTGTGGTTTACATAAATACCTTATATCGTCTATTGAGAAATATTTGTAAGGGCTTCTGACAGCATCTAGGCCTTTCGACAAGTAAATAAATAATATTTATCGTTTACTGTAAAATAGTCAGTATTGCTCACAATTTGTATACCTCATGAAGTTGATAATGATCTTTTCGAATTATTCTGAGATTTTCGAAATTTTCAATGTTATGAAACGTCAATGAGATATAAGCCTACAAAAGTAGATGAAATATCAGCCATAATTTTATATACGTTACTTAATATTAACGTTTTGTTTTTATGTTACGCTAGATCTTCTACAGAAGAACACAATGTTAGTCTGTTCACCTACATATCAAGAACGAGTAGAAAAACCACCTGAAATAACCAATCCAGATAAAAGTACCAAGTTTTATCTGAATAAAAATTCATTGGAAAAGTTAGCTGATCAAGATGTTCCCCTTACATCAGAAGGTATTCTTTATGTACTAGAAAATCGAATTAAATCACAATTTCATGATAAAAGAACTTCATTGCCTGAAATGAAAACAAATTTGAAAGATGATTCTATTTCCCAGAACGGATTTCAACTATTTTTCAGTCGTTTACGTTCATCTAAATTAGATAAGACGTTAAACGCTCAACAACAACAAGAACGGTCTCATAAATCTTTCTACATCGATAAAGATAGTCAGTGTGATTTTAATTCACTCATCCATCAAAGTTCTGGTATTCGTGAAATCTCTATCCCTTTAAAATGTTTGTGTGTAAGTGATTCGGATGAAGCTTGTGAATGCGCTCGAACTACTGTTAATGTTCAACGACAACTTTTACATTATAAGTGCCAGGTATGATTAAATTAATGTGTAAATGATAATCGTGTTCACCTAATATTAAATGTGTCAAGTATCTACTTAGAAAATTGAAAAAGAATTTCAATTTTTGAAGAAACCAATACAACTCTTTTTCAATTTATGCATGAGAATCACATGTATTGCGTTCAATATATACTCTAATTAAGGCCATTAAGACTTTATTTCACAAAAAATATTAAGGAAAACCAATTTTATCCCTATTTGTGGTAGTTAACTTATCCCGTTTATTATTTCAATGGTTCAAAGAGTCCTTAGACGTCCTCAGTAATCAGGTCCTCTACCCACCTCACCGTTCCACGTTTTATCGTTTCAAAATTATACTTTTTTCACCCTTACATGCCGATTCTACATTTTGCGGACAAGATAAAATATTAGATGGGTTACGTTTGGTGACTAGAGAAAGTGACCTAATCTACTGACGGAATTACGCATGAGAAACTGGCATTCAGCCGCTGCTGAATCATTATCTCTATAAATCCCCTTCAATAACTTTGTGAATTTCTCAATAGTTGTACCTTAGTTTCACTAGAAAACATTCATATCAAGTTTTTTAATTTTATATTTATCAAATAGACCCTGTACATAATTAAGGTGTACTAAACGAAACTCTTGTTATAATTTAGAACACAAAACACAATGAATTATAAATTAAAATAACAAAAAATTAAAATTTATATAATTTGAAAAGAATATAACTTATAACAATTCTTATCTAAGGCTACATCGAAGCAATACGCACAGTATGCACATATGCCAATTAGAGACTGACCAGTTGCAGTCCTAAACATCAACGGGAAGATTCAAACAAGTAACACTAAGTGAATTCTTATCTAAATCTTATCTAGCTATCCATAGAAAAAAAATTGATCTTTCAGTTTCAATTAGATGTGAACTTTTCTTTCTGAGGATAAATGCAAAATATCAATAGAACTTTATACATAACTTACAAAATTTATTTAAATCATACCATTGAAAAGTTTGATAATTGTGAAATAACTGGAAAATCTTAACAACGTATAAACCATCTCTTAATGCTATAGTTTTTAATACATGAAAATGTAAAAATACTACTTTTTATGGTCAGTTGATCAATGGAAAACAAGTAGAAATTATGTAACACTAAACAGCTGGTATAGCATAAATGTTCACTCGTCTTCTTTATTAAACTCTGTGCAGTTCTTCCAACGATTGTGTTTTGTATTAATAGCCTGCTTTTGATTTGCTAAAATGAATTTTTACTTTTCTTTTCAACTCATCCACTAATTACTTGAGTATGAACCGAACACAAAGTGTGATGGCTAATAGTACTAGTATCCGGTTGCCCCAGTCGAAATAGGTGGGTTAGGGTTTGAACCTGGGATTTAGTAGCTGAAAATTGAATAACTTGACCACTAAATAGCACTCTGGTTTGTCAGTGGTATCAAATTTAAGAGTTAATTTCTACAAAAACACGATAGCAATATCTAAATAAAACACTAAATTTGGAATGAACCTACGGTAGGTTTTACAAAACGTATTTACTATTGGACTTGAGATATATTGTTTGGAATGTACAAACTGAAAAAAAGTTTAACAGTAGAAAAAAAACAGCTCAATTCTATTCAGCTTATTGTGATTTTTCAAGTGGTCGATAATTCAAGGATTGAAATTATCTGCGGATTATTTTCTAAAAATTAGATTTCATTCATTCCTAAACTTCATTTCCAAATATTTGGATAATCAAATGTAATGACTTCCGGTAATATATATATATATATATATATATATATATATATATATATATATATATATATATTGAGAGAGAGAGAGAAAGAAAGAAAGAAAGAAAGAAAGAAAGAAAGGGCTGTGTAATGGAGGGCATAAATAATAAAATTAGTCAATCAGAAGTTATTTACAACTTGAGGTTTGTGGACTGTGGAATTTCATAGTTATCCATTACGGACTGGCTTTAGAATGCACTGAACAATATGCATGTTCACATTACCATCTTTTTTGCTGAAATAATACACTTGTTGTCAATGTGATTTAAAGGGACAGAATACAATATCGAAAAATGTCAACAGAATTATCATACCTACCTGATTCATTTTAAACGTTCAACTGGATTTGCTGACTAGCACTGAGAACTGTCATTTAAAATTATGTAGGCATAATCTGTCATCGGCCTATGCTCCATTGGGAGTAACAGGCGTAAGTAAGTAAGTATAATCTGTCATATTACTCTTTAAGTGACAATGATATCTTCGTCACTAAATGATTCAGTTCAAACCTAATTCATGTGATTGAATAAAACAATAAGCAACACACTTATAAAGTATTTTTAAAACATATATGATAGTATCAAATTTGTTAGATAATAAAACTTAACACCAATCAATCATTATATGATTATAATCAGAAGGGGATTTGTGGAGATTTCAGTATATTTCAAGGTTGAAATCATGAGTCAATTGAAGCTAGACCACCATCGAAAACCTGGAAGCACTGGACGGCCGTTTCGTCCTATTATGGGACTCCTCAGCAGTGCGCATCCGCGAACCCGCTCTCGCGAGCGAGATTCGAACCTAGGACCTACCAGTTACGAGCCAGAGCCCTTAACCGATAGACCACTGAGCTGGCACCCAACAGCTTCAATTGACTCATGATTTCAACTTTGAAATATACTGAAATCGCCACAAATCCCCTTCTGATTATAATCATATGCTCACTAGTGACTGACTTCAAGATACATGTCCAGGAGTTCTAGTGGGAAGCAGTGACCAGTGGTGTTCAACCACGTCTGTTGTGAGATAACAACTCACTGAAGGCGATTGGTGAAGTGTCGCTCATAATTCGTGGATCAGTTGAAGTTAGACATTAACACCATTATATGATTTTTATTAATAGTTTTATGATTGCATGTGCATGTTTCTGCTAAAAATGTAAGATCATAAGGCAATAGACAAAACTTAAAGCATTTGTATTCATTAATCGAGAAAGTATTGTATCCAAATTAACATATTTTAGCTATACTTCAAAGACCGTTTGTTTGTAATAATTTCTATTCGTTTGAAAAAATGAAGACACAGGAAAAAAATGATGCGATTAAATATCTAAACACTGTGTAGTTTAGACGATTTCGTGCAGAAGTTTCTGTATTCTGATGGTAGTTTCAATCACAAACTGATGTATTCTGAAGTGTCACTAAAATACAGAAGGCACTTAACTTGCTCAGACATTGTCGATGAGTAGCAAATTGAAATCAAATATCTATTTAATACATATTACTTAATACATAATAATTTTAATCCTCTCATCTTACTGTAAATCTCTTTCATAATAGAGGAAATCTGTCTTTAATGCATGTGTTCTTTTGAGTGCTATTAGTTTCTGTATATAGCATTAGGTTACTTCTTGAAGAAACGTCCTTACTTTGAATTAAATACAGTTGTATTTCTTTATAACTGAGAAGCATATTAAAAGTATTCATAAATTATTCACATACATTGTTTAAAGTTTTTCAAAATTTGCTTTCATTGTATTTATCAGTTGTCTGAAATGACAAAAAGAATCAAACAACTTGAACTATCTGAGGATGCCCATCGACATGCATTGAAAGAACAATACGAAAGAAACAAGCACATGTCTGTTCAACTTACCGGAATTCTCCCATACACATCTGAAGAATTATTGAATTGTAAGTGACATTTATTAACATTGGTTAAAAGGAATTAATTAAGGGACTACCTAAGTAAGTCAGTGAGTTTGTGAAACTATATAGTTTGAAGTGGATTGGCTCTGTTATGGTAGAGTAGATTTGACTTTAGGTTAAACTGCTAATTGTTAGTTTGAACTCTGTAGATTTATTAGCTAGAGCCTTGGAAATTTCGTAGTTTAGTGATGGAATTATGCTTGCGGAAATAAACTCGTTACATTCATTTTGACCAACAACCATTACCCGTTAACTCTCTAGTTCTTTATCTTAGGAGTCATAAGTGTATTAAATCTAAGTCTGTAACGTAAAATGATGCAAAACGGCTGATATGTACTTCTGAGGAATTTAATAATAGAAGAGTTACTTGGTTCGTCCCATTGACACTTGGAACAAATTTTACATTGCATAAGGTTATCATGTACCTAGGTTAAAATTAATTTGAAGTTAAAATACATCAGTTATACTACCGCACAACAATAAAAATAGACCATTTAATCTTATAAAGAGGATGTAGTTTCAACGAAACATTTCAGAGTTTCTTCTAATGGCGAGAAAGTAAATACTGCCGTAAGAAAAATGAAACCACTCTCGCTTTAGAACTTCTGTTTATAGAATATGGAAACTTTGTGCAACAGATATTGAAACTGAGTTGTTAGCTAAATTCTCTGTGGTATATTCATTCTATTTTATAGCGTGCTTGTGATGATTATTGATGCAAAAGTGGGACATTAGTAAGAAGGCATCTTACTGATTTATGAAATCATTGAGTTACGCATCAAGGATTACAGGACTGTTGGATACATTTCTTAGTACCTAGAACTATAAAATGTACTGTACTTTTACTTTGCATAAAACTGTCATAAATTTAGATAAGTTATTAGAGATCAATCTCTCAGTATATAATACTACTTCAATGATTAGAAGTCATCATTTTGGTGTAGTTCCATAAGTTTGGACGGAAAACATATCCTTGAACGAATAGGCATATAACAGTGATACTTTATGCAAAATCAGCACAAATATTTTTCGAAATAAGTTACACGAGTTGTTTCCATTTTTTAAACAGGATTTATGTTTAAATCGGTTCTGGATACCCGAAATACATAATGATTTATTTGAACGACAATCTAGAAATTTATCGTAGTAACTTTCCATTTTCAGTTATGTAACATCCAGCTAACAATCTCGAGTAGTCTCTGCCATTAATTATAATCTTTCTTGGAAAAATTAAATGAAGGTTCATATGTGGACTAGTTCATGTTCTGCTAGGGAAAGTTATGGTTCTGACATTTAAGCATTGCTTTTAGATGGTTGGCATTATGAATTCATGTTTTTCTACTTTCATTTGTCGCGGTTGTGCGATTAATGTGCTGTTTATGCTGCCATATTTCTTAATTGTTATAACCCAAATTTTCAGGGATGAAATTAATTGTGTTCTCCGAATATATATATATGATCTTTTGTATTACTTCTTATGACGAATAATTCTCTGTTCATAGGTAGTTATGTACTGCAAGCTTTTATGAAATTATCGTTCAAAAATCAGTAAAACCACATTAAATATGTGCGTATGCCAAAACTATATTTTGTTAAAAAGAAATTCCGTTTCACAGTATTTTTGTTGTACAATAAAATTGAAAAAAGGATTATATTTCTTTTTGGTAGCCGATATCCATTCAGTATGACCTGCTCATTAATAAAAATAAATAAATATTAAATAATTTGACAGTTGAATTTATGAGTTGATGTAAGTTAGACCACCATTGAAAACCTGGAAGCAATGGACGGCCGTTTCATCCTAGTATGCGACTCCTCAGCAGTGCGCATCGACGATCCCGCCTCGCGAGATTCGAATCCAGGACCTATCGTTCTCGCGCGCGAGTGCCTAACCACTAAACCACTGGGCAAACATCCAACGGTGTTGATATCTAACTTCAACCAATCCACGAAATTGCGCCACCACCCATCATTGTCCTCAGTGAGTTACCATCTCACAACAGACCCGGTTGAGCTACGTTGGTCACTGGATGAAACAGCCGTCCAGTGCCTCCGAGTTCTCCATGGTGGTGTAGCTTCAGTTGACTCATGAGTTCAGCTATTGAAATTACTATAATATCCACAAAACCCCTTTTTAAATATTGCATAGTTCTACACTACAAACATTACAAAGTCGATAATTTTATTTAATAATCGTGAATGCACACACAACATTACATATTGCTGAATTGCTTATCTTCACATATTTACCAACTATTTCGCATTCCATTACGATCATCCTATTTACGTAAATTTGTCTGGTTTAACTAACATAAATTAGAAAATAAAACAAGATGATTAGGCTAATACTTTTATAAGACAATATATTTTACTGTAGTTTTAAAAAAGCAAATGTAGTTTTGTCTGAAAGGTAAAACTATTTAGAGTTCATCAAAGTACTAGTGAGATTAACGTCTTACCACACCATAAGATGGAATATTATGACGCAGCTTGTTGCGTTAAACTCCAAATAAACACTGGTAACGCTGTCCATAAAAAACAATAGGAGCTTCTCAATGTAGTTATTCAACTCAAAGAATCCAACACCACCAATAGGTCTGTATGGTCAGATTTGAATGATATTTTAGTGAAATATGAGGGAGACTACTGGTCACTTGTCCAAATTGAAATGCACCAAGGATCCTTCAGGAGTATCTGAGTTATAGTGCGAGACTCCCTGGAGTAAAAATATTTATGGATTTTGTAAATGAATATATATTGAAATGGACCAGTCTGAAGACCTACTGGGAAGTACTCTGACGTAAAGGAGTCGAACCGAGCGGAAAAAAAATATTAAAATCACATCTTTTGAACAAGAGAGACTCAATTAAATCGTGTATTATAGAATTGATAAATGTTTCTAAGAGATCTTTCGCCGTTATAGTACCCATTTTAAGGATACATGATTTAATTAGTAGACACAAAGATAGGTAAAACCTATACAGTTGGTTTGAAGTCTAGAAAACCGAACTTCACGAACGAAATCCCCCCAAAGTCGAAGTCAGTATGTTCATAAAGTTTTTAGTTTTTGTCTGAATATGAATGATTTGGAAGCATTATCTCTTAGCCAGAGGGTTTCCGCTAGTTGTACCAGTAATAATAAAGGTTGAAATACACGTTCAATTCGAAAAACGTTCACTCACAATCACCAGGTTCGATTCCTTCGACTGACAAATATTTAGAGAGACGTGAGCCTACTTTAATGGTTTGTTACTATAACGATGCAAATTGTAAGTAGCCTAATAATTATCAATCTAGTAATTAAGAAACCTGATACGGCATCAGTATTCCTTATAGACAAAAACAGCATGCATTGGAAATATGTATACAGTACTCGGTGTTCATCGCAAATTCTAATTCTTTTCTAAAAATAACCTCATAGAAAAAGCTGGGTGACAAGTGACACAATCACCAAATAGCTTGCAAGAAACAGGTTCAATTTACCACGAATATTATTCAACTCTCAGTCCAACTGGTACGGTAACACTCCAACTTGTGGTCTGTCAAAAGTATATAAACATGATTTATCATTTCGTCTATTACTAGTTATGTTAAATTTATCTTACCATGGTTAATAGAACTTATAAAGCCACCATGCAAAATACCCTTAAAGTACAGTGTAAAAGATAATTTTGAGTTGATCGCTAGAATTAGAATTTTTAAATTGAACAAGAAATTCATGTAATCGTTTGGTTTTCATTTTTATTGACAAACATGCTGCTAGTGATAAAAGCAGTTGATTTCATATTTGGTAAGTTGCAAAGCTTAGGAATGTAAATTAGCATACTTCTTTTTTCTTTGAATAAAAACGGACATGTTAATCTGTCGTGCTTAAGTCGCTTAAAAAATACCGACATTAAAAAAACTACACTAAGGATCCAAAATTTATTCTTGTTTCCATGATAAACACTACAACATTGACATAACTTTGTCTGGTTATTTATAGTTATTTGTAACAAAATAATTTATTGTCATTTCCTTTATTTTTATTTTGTTTCATTTCTTCGATATAAATCAAGCTCCAAATTATGTATTGTCTTCTCACTGTTCATCAACAGTAAGGAATTCATTTGGAAAATCCAATTCTAGAAAAAATAATTCAATAGTTTCGCAAACATTATCCACTACAGAATCGTTTCATAATTTATTATTATGGTTTCATAAAATTTTAAAAGCAACTTCAACCTCATTGAGAAGTTTATCGTCGTTTGATAATCAATTAACATTTGATCAAGATAAAAATAGTTATAGTGTTATGGAATCTATACACTCGAAATCGAAATCTCCAACATATATTAGAAAGTTTACTGGTAATTCTATGTCGGAATCTTTAACACTACACAATGAATCAAGTCGATGTCAATATGAAAAAGATGCTTCAGTAGATGGAATTAATAAATTACGTGACATTTCAAATAAAGAACAAATTAATTTGGCTACAAAAAGAAAAATAAGTCTGAAAGGTGTTAAGTCTACATTCAATTCTATGCTATCACAATCAGATGATCTAACTATAAGTGATAAACTTATTACTTTAGATAACCATATAACAGGAATAAATGATGAATCGATTGTACAAAATCAAACGGTTTATTCACGTAAAGTAAGTTCATTTTTAAAAGGAAATAACTATTAATATGTTCAAAAACATTTCAAGAGAAATCCCGTCCGCGAAATGGATCATCATAATTAGTGTAAACTATAAACGAATTGATATAGTTAAGTAGTACTAGATAACTGGCTTTTCCACATCTTTATTTTCTTATAAATAAAATTTGTTCCTTCAAAAGAACAAAGGATGATTACAATTTGTTTTATATATTGCTTGAACTGCAAAATTGGTTATATTGTCATTGATTCTAGTAAAGTAAACAGTAGAATACAACAAAACAATTTACACATACTTTTCATTTCGTTGTGTAAGCTGTCAGATACTTAAAGACTAGATGTATACAGGTTTGATCAAAATGTACGGAAAGATACACTAAATAGATTTACTTTCAATTTATTTAACCTTTCGATATAATGTACGCTGTTCCAATCGGCAGTTTCATTTTCAGAGTTGACTGATTATGTGATAAATTGTGTACATTTTTACTGCCTATCAGTTTTCTGCTCAGAAATTTTCACCAGTTGTTTGGATATCAATGTAAAACGAAAATATGTTTCAGACCAGTAGAAAATTACCAGTGAGGAACTTTCCAATAATATTGTGTGTGTGTATCGATATACTATTGTAAACAAAATGTTAAACTTCGAATGTAACAGACTTTGAGAACGGTAATAATACCTTGAAGGGATGGCAAAAATAAAACCCTGTCAATCTGAAAATAATAATAAATAAAATAAATACTTGCTAGTAAATATTTGTAAAATAATGAAGATTTTAATAATTAATTTCACGATGAGTTGTGTGAATGTTATTAGTTTTAATTCCATCAGTTATAATAATTCTCTTTAGATTTCCAGATCATCTTCTATACATGCCAAACAACTTAAGTCTCGATGTCGATCAATGGAACATGTTTCATCGCCGAAATTTTCTGAGGAAGAAAATATGAATATCATGTTACTGCATCAGCTTTTACTTCAGGTAAATTGTTTTTAACAGATCAATTTATGTACTACTTGTAATTCATTAGCAGTAGTAAGGCGTTTTATTAGGAATAAATATATGAACTACAGACATATTTTCAACGTACCCAGTAAATCTGTTGATACTGACAGTACATTAATTCTACACCATTATACGGAAACTCAAAAAACTTACAACTCGAAGTTTCAATCCTGGGTGATGACGTCTTTAAACCAATCGTGGACTTATATCACGTGTGTCAGATGACCCAGAGTTTTCCACTAGTTTCATAAAGTTAATTTCTTTCTCCTAGTCGCCTAGTGGAGTAACAAACTCCTAGTCACTAAATTTTCATAAATGACTACTACCTGGTTCAAATGTGAAGAGAAATTTTACGCTCTAACTATATATACGAAATCGTATTGTTGTGGATAATGTTCACCGGTAATAAAACAGGGGAGTACCTTAATATTTTCCTTCGTTCTTTAAAAAAAATCCATTTTTCATCGTATATATGGAGACAACATACATGGTACTTCGATTTTTTTTGCAATTTTATCACAAATTAGTTAACACAATCACTGTAGTAGTTCACTGGTATATCACAGTTATGAGAAATACCTTGCAAGTATATGGTGGTCAGAATGTATGAAATATACTTGTTTAGAAATTTCCTGAATGTTAACTAGGAAGGAGATTACTGAACATCTCTAGTGCCAGAAACCTTCATAGAATATTTCAGTCTCTCGATAAGTTTATTAAGGCACCTGAAGATAATAAAAATAAGACACGTTTTCCTGAAAAATATATAAATTAGTCCATAAGATATCCCAATTAGAATGGGAACACACTTTCTTATCCTCCCAAAAATATTATAAACTGATGAGTATGAGTTGGTACACATTCAATATTTATGTAAAGTATCCCAATAATCCGCATCACAGATAAAATTAAAGCAAATAACCTCATACATGTATCATTTTACAATATTTCTATTGCTAAAAAATAACTCCTACGAAGGAAAAGTGACTGTTTCTTAAGTCCTCTTAATAACTATGAAGTTTATGGTAGGGTTGAATGTAGTAATTTCTATTACCTTGATTTACTGAAAGGTTTTGTATTCTTATGTGTTAACTAGCTGAAATGAGAAAGACCTTGTACCGATTGACAGTAAACATCTAGCATCAAAAGCTGAGTCAATAACAACGGTGGTCAGATCCTAAATCGATCAACAGAATAGGATAAGCAATTAGAACTAGATGCATATGATATCACTTTTCTACTCAAGAGCACTATCCTAAAACTTAAATAGTTTAGAAAAGTTCCTAGGGATCTAGTTTTTTATGGTACTAATTAAAACTATTCGTTTTATCTCAAGATTTCACCAAAAATATATTTAGTAGTTTATCCAGTCTTTTTCGAGAGTGTACTTCATTAGATACCCTTTACTACCTATATTTTGACAGTGAAAGAATTAGGTATGTACCCATCCATTTCAATAATGAGATAAACGTAGTTTGAAATAAAAGAATCTGATATGTTTCAGTCCAAGGTGCACCCAGTAAGATTACTACTTTTTAAAATTAGCATTTCAACGAGTTTTAGAATGGAACTCTTTCCCTATTTATTCAAATGTGTAGATGAACAATGTTGCAGAACTTATTGAGAAACAAAATCTAATGTGTGATAAACGTGTTTGCCGTTCATCTTCGGTCGTTACATGAAATTATTAACAAGTTATTCAGTTGGTTTCCTTTTCCGATGAAAACCGATTAACAAGTAGGTCTTCGTTACTTAACTTCTACAAGACTTTATGTATGCCAATTCATTATGTGCTGATAAATAAGTTCCTTATTCTTAACTCACTTACTTACTTACTTACGCCTGTTACCCCTCGTCGAGGAGCATAGGCCGCTCACCAGCATTCTCCATTCACAACTCATAACTCACTTGGTCTTAAATATTTTTCGCATGATTCTCATATTTGCAATTGACTTTACATCCCAACATTTATTTTTGCAGATTTGATTTTCTTATGTAGAAATGATTTTATCATGCATTTTTATATCAATCCACATGTTAATTTCGTTAAGATTGTATTCAATCCCTTAAGATTATATGGTAATTCAGTGGCGAATGTATTACTTCACAAATCTACAATGTATTTACATTTCACCTGCACGTGCAAATTCTTAATGTGTGTTTCTACTGTATACCTTTAAGTAGTATATAACTATTTGAAATAAGAACATGTACAGATTTATGTACTATTTCAAATAAGTGCAATTAAAGGAAGTGACCAAGAGGAAAAACAACAGTAGCGGATAAAATAGGAAGTGCAGGAATAACTGGATAATTTTAGATTTCGTGGAATCCCTTTAACGCAGTAAGAATATAACAGACGATCCAACTGATCAGCGTCAAGCTAAATCTTTAACAAATATGTGCAATAAACAGGCAACTCAGAAAAAAGATAAAAATCATTATTGAAAACTGTGAAACAAACTTCGGCAGGTGAAAATATCGATAACTGCTCGAACATAGATTAAATACTTTAAAATCTGGATTTTCATTAATTTGTTTTTTTTAGATTTGTACGAAATGATTATGTACAAATATTTTTAAATTGCTTAAAAAATGATGGTTGACGCTTCATAATTTTGTGCTTTAACACCATGATCATGTTAGCTGAAATAGCTTGATCATCATACTAAATTATCTAGAATAATATATTGATCACATACATATAATAATCCTTTTTAGCATTAATTATTTTTAATAATTCAGCCCACATGAATTTCATTACATCTTATAGTTACAACTAAAATAAATCTCACTATGGACTAATGCATGAAAATATTGGTTTCTGAGGAAAATTATTCTTGAAACTTAAAGGCATAGTATAACTAGGTGTAAATTATTAGACCGATGATACTGCAAAACTGGACGTACAATAAATAATTCTTAAGTTACAAACAGCTACGATGAACTCAAAATTTAGGTGAAAATAATCAATGCACCCGATTACTCAAACTGATTTTAAACCATGTTATTTAAGATTTCCTACGACAGACTACGACTACCCCGCCTAGCCGAACGAGGAAGTTTGCACCTCTTGACAAGTTCCAGACCTACAGGTAATGATTTCATGTACTGATGATATGCCATGGTCTATCCATAACTTGTCTTCTTCCAAATTACGCCCGTCTTGCCCTCAAATGCCCTGGGGAGGGCTCGCTCTCTCTCTCTAAATGCTCTCACATGGCCACGCGTATACAGCCTCTGCAAGGGAAGTCCTACTCACTGTCTTTTCGTAGCGGGGGTGTTGTTTACGAAATTCAGAGGACGAAAAGCGAATGTCCAGCGCTCTAACCAGGTTGGTGGACACGGAAAGTCCACCTAAGGAAGTTGGAAAACCCTGATTCCAAACCAATGGTGCACATGGGCTTCAGTATCGTGAGGGAACAAATGGTGCATGAACCAATTGTTGGTCACCGGCTACTATGGGACTGCATCTCCTCACGGTGCTCCACTGCCTTGTGGATCAGACCTTTAGGTCAGAGTGTGGCTCCCTAAGAAAACCACCTGCTTCGGTTTGGGCGCCCGGACAGTATCATAGCCCTTACACAATTGTGTGGCGCATATATATCTGGTGCCCCTTTGTGCCATTATTTGTGTTCAAATAAATAAATAAATACGCCCGTCCTAACCAGTATAATAAGTCGAAATAAGTAGTTTCTTGGCACATGTACCATAAAATACATATTAAATATAACAAGACCTTGGAGATAGTGTAGTGAACGAGAACACAAGTGGGGGCAACCAAATGCATGTCAGCACAAAATTACCGAATATCTTAAAAAAATCTGAGGACCATACAAGAAATACTTCATTTGCAAAAGGTCAATCAATTGTCTCAAACTAGAGTATTCCTTCTTTCTACATCAATCACTCTCTGTTCTCGTTCTCTTACCTTCGATCTTCTTAACCTTCTGCCGCCAGATATTTCACTTTCGATTGATGGTACATACTACTTATATCTGTCGATATCAATAGCACACACCACAATAGGTTCAGAGACTTTAAATATAATTCCTTCTTCGACTGAAATATATCACGATGTAAAAATAATACCGCCTTAACATTTATTTTTGGGCTTCTTGAAACAAAGAGACTGCTATTGCTATTTTAAAATATAACAGATGTGAAATTGTTTAGAAATAAATCGATAATGACTTGTTTAGTATCTACTATGTATAAATATTAGCATGAATTTCAAACATTTTCTTTTGTTTTTAAGATTCAGATCAATAAAGCAAAATAAGAAACCTGAAAATAAATTCAATTTTTCTATACCTGGAAGTAAATCATTTTGTACAGAAAATTGACTTCATTTTAATGGTTTGTCAATGCCGTCAGAGCATAAAAGAATGCAAGCATAATGCGTATAAAAATAATCACATGAAATCAGCTTTTCTCAGTGTATAGAGAAGACCACTGTGCGGGTTCGCTGAAAAAGTCCTGCTAACTTACAAGAATTTACAGGAAATAAAATTTTTAAGATGTCTGCTGTTAAGCAGTTTATTTATAAGGAATTACAACACCTTTTAAAGCAGTTAGTTCACGAATTATCTGTAGAAGTGAAATAGCGGTATCTTCAGGAGACATTCTAGCTGCACATGGTACATGTACGAAAACAACTCGATCAGGTGAATATTCCAGTGATCTATAATGGATAACAGGATAAAGTGATAGAACTAATAACGAATAGAACTAACCTGTAGTATATGTAGCCACATAAAAACCTGCCTGGGTCATTTGAAAGTGAACAAGCAACATGATTATCCACTAGTTTACTATATGCTTTACTCAAATTCATATTACAGTAAAGAACTGGTTCACCATGATTATTAGCACAACCATTATTTTCACAATAAGCGCCATCCATATCTGGTTTATCGTATCCACTATTATACGACAAAGTTTCCAAAATTGGCATCGTCACACTGGTATCCATACCAACATGTATCACTAAATCCTAATGGAAATTAATAAGTTAGACAGATGACAACTGAAAACTAGTTAAATCTCTTGGTATTAAAAACATCGACTGATAAGAGCAAAATGCAATGTAAAGTACGAGACTTTGTAACTAAAAACCATAAAGACAATACTTGGCACGTTTTCTCCATTCGACTAAATACTCCATAACATATGAATATATTTTAGTCTGACATAGTTATCAATCCTCTCAGAAAAAAATAAATATCAATTAGAATTGACAGGATGAAGGACTGATAGTTTTAACTTGAATTCCTACTAGGTAGCACACTGAGGGATGTAACCTAACACCATAAAGTATCAGCGTAAAGTAAGATGGATACCAATTAAGTTGACTTCCTATAGAGATCTACATTACTGGTGTTAGATGAATAAAATAAAAAATCTAAAAATAATTCTAACCACTTCTGATGTTCATCGAAAGAACCATTTTAGGACATGTCTAAAACCTCACATTAGATTTTATGGGATTATATGAATATAAAAGTGCCCTCCAAGTACTTAGAATTCAAACCTCCTTTGGTGAGGTGGTTGAAAGTACATATGCTCAGTCACTGCCTATTTCGACTAGCTTAAAATGGACGTCCGATGGAAAAATGTTAAGTTTAGCCAAATAAACACATTTGATTAACAATGGTAATAATACACTCCAATATGCTAAATTGTCAGGAAATACTTAAAAATATGAGAACTATAATACGCCCTAAAATGTTTTACAATTGGTCAATCACTGAGCAGCGACCAATGTCGTGTATATGAAGTCTTTCTTTAGTGCTGATCGAATTCTGTCTATCAAGCTGTAATGTGGCCACAAATATATGTGACTCAATATCACATGCACTATGTTGAGATGAAAGGTGGTGGCTGGAGGTGGTCGACTAGTGTGTCACCTAGTAGTGAGTAAACGGAAACCAAGGCATTGCCGCGAACGAAAATAATATATCTACACTAAGTATCACCAACACTACCAGTTATCACATCTAAAAATGATCACATCAAAAATTACACTATATTCATTTATTGGTAAGAAGCAGCAGAAAAGTAGATGTAGCTAGCAACTTATATTCCACTGAAATCGCACAATCAATAAGACTACAAAGATTAGCTTAAATCAGCTGTATGAAATCTTTAGCCTACACAAAGATATTTTACTTACAGGGTTTTCTTTCCAGATAGAATTAACACACTGATCAACCGCTCTATACGTAACAGGGACATTCGCTATTGTGTGTAGTTTTATACCAGCACAAGCATCAGTATACGTTTTATTCCAAATTTGTCCCAAATGATTAACAGCCAACGAACTAGAATTGCTTTCACAACCTCCATAAAGCCCGAAACCAGTGATAATTATGTGCATTCAAGTTTAAAACTTACATTAAAGGGAAAAATTAGGATAAGAAAAATTAGTGAACTATTCAAATAATTTTGTACAAACACTATTTTTACCTAGCTCATTGTTCCATACAATATATCAAAACTTTAGTGTGCGGTGCAAGTTTATATCAGCTGTCATGAAGTGAAAATTCCCCCTACTTTGATTTTGAACTTTTTGGTACCCCACTGAAATCGTATATCTACTCCGCTGATGTATTTACGTACTCCTGTCACCCCTCGTGGAGTAGCATAGGCCACTCACCAGCATTCTCAATCCGACTCTGTACTGAGCAATACTTTCCAGTTACTATTCATTCTTTTCATGTCTACTTCCAATTACCGATACAGTGTTCTTTGATCATCGTCTTTTCCACCTCCCTTCAGGATTCCAAGTAAAAGCTTGTCTCATGATGAAGTTTGATGATTTCCTCAATAAATGTCCTATACACCTCCAACATTTTCTCCTAACTTCTTCGTCATTTGGAGGTTGGTTTGTTCACTCCCACAATAGGCTGTCGCTGATGGTATCCGGCAAACAGACATTCAGTATCTTTCATAGACAATTGTTTGTAAATACTTGTACCTCTTTGATGGTGGTTGTAGTGCTCCACCTTTCAGCTCCGTACAGTAGGACTATCTTGACGTTCGTACTGAAGATTCTCACTTTGATTTTGGCATACAGAGAGCTGTTTTGAGTTGCATATGCTCTTCAACTGTAGGAATCCTGTCATTACTTTACCAATCCTCGCCTTTACGTCTGCATTAGACCCTCCTTGATCATCGATGATACTGTTAAGGTTCGTGAGAGTTTCCAACTCTTCCAGAGCTTTTCCATCAAATGTGACTTGGTTGGTGTTCTTCGTGTTGTATTTGAGGATCGTTCTTTTTTACCTGTGCACGTTGAGGCCTACTGATGCAGAAGCTTATGCTACACTGCTTGTCTTGACCTGCATTTGCCGGTGTGTATGGGACAGAAGAGCTCGGTCATCTGTGAATTCCACATCGTCTAGCTGCATCCAAACTATCTATTGTATTCCGTGCTCCTCCTGAAATGTCGAGGTCCATCGTATGAATTCCGTATGATATTGATGATCTCAGGTACACCATAGTGTCGATAAAGGTTCCATAAAGTTGTCTTATCCACGCCGTCAAACGCGTTCTCAGAGTCAAAGAAGTTGATAAATGGTGACGAATTCCATGTAATCGACTGCTCAATAATGATCCGTGATGTCGCGATTTGGTTTGTGATCGACCGATTATGACGGAATCCAGCTCGTTGATCTTAAAGTTGAGCGTCTACTCCATCTTTCATCCTATTCAAAAGAACTCTCGTAAAGAGTGTTTTTTATAGTAATAGCAGTGTGATGCTTATGCAGTTCTCTTACTTTTTGTAATGTCCCATTAGTATCTTGATAAAGAATCCTTCTTTTCAGCCTGTCTGTAGCACTTGTTTCTCTTTCCAAATCCTCCTGAATAGAACGTGGAGCACGTTTACAATTACTTCTATGTCTGAATTCAGTGCTTCAAATGGTATGTTGTCAGGTCCTGATGCTTTCTCACACTACATCTGTCTGATAGCCATATCGGTTTCTTTGATCTTCGGTGAAGTGACACCTATATGAAGGTCTGTAAGCTGCTTTGATGTCTGGTGTGTTCAGTGAGTCTGGTATGTTCAAAAGCTCTGCAAAGTGCTCTACTCACCTGTTCCGTTGTCCTTGGATCTCAGTGATTGGCTTGCTTTCTTTATCCTTGGCTGGTCTCTCTAGTTTACCATATTTCTCTACCAGTTTCTTCGGTGTGTCATATAGTCCTTTTATATATCCTTCTCTTGCAGCTTTTTCCGTTGTCATTGCCAGGCATTTCACGTATGTCTGTTTGTCAGCTCTAATGCTCCTCTTCACTTGCTTTTTTGCTTCTGTGTATTCAGCTTGTGCCTTGAATTTCCATGCTCTTGTTTGGCTGTTGTTAATTGCTGTCTTCTTACTCTTCTTCTCTTGAATCTTGTCCAGAATTTCCAGAGATCCATTCCTTATGATGCTTCTTGAGGCCGAGAACCTCCTTAAACCTTGAAGTTAGTGTTTCTTTGATCCCTTTCCTGTTGTCCTCTATAGTAGTTTCTTCTTCTTTGAGTAGATCTTGTAAGTCGTGGAATCTGTTTTTGAGAGCTACCTTGAATTAGTTGAGTTTGTCAGTATATCGAAGGAAGACTGTATTGAACCTTCGTCATGCAGTTTTTCCAGTCGTCCAGTCCTTCAGTTTCATCTTGGCCACAACCATGTGGTGATTTGAAACTATGTCAGCTCCTTCCTTTGTTCTTAAGCCTTCCATTGACCTTGTGAAGATTTTAACTGATGCAAATATGATCGGTCTGATTCTCTGTAGTGTGATCCAGTAAGACACATGTAGTTTTGTGTACGCGTTTGTGGGAGAACATAGTGCCACCTATAACCGTTTTGTTGAAGGCACATAAATTTGCAAATCTTTTACCATTCTCATTTCTTTCACCCAACTCCATGTTGTCCTGTGATATCTTCATATCTAGTGTTGTCCATTCCATTGGCCCCCAAATGCCCTGGTACGGCCGAGAGTGGGGAGAGTCTACTCTCTCTCTCGAAATGCTCTCACATGGCCAGCGAATATATAGCCTCTGCCAGGGAAGTCCTACTCACTGCCTTCTCGTGGCGGGGGTGTTGTTTACGAAAGTGAGAGGACGAAAAGCGAATGTTCGGCGCTATAACCGGATTGGTGGACACGGAGGGTCCACCTAGGGGAGTTGGAAAACCCTGATTCCAAACCAATGGTGCACATGGGCTCCAGTATCCTGATGGAACGAATGGCGGAAGAACCTGCTGTTGGTCAACGGCAACCATGGGACTGCATCTCCTCACGATGCTCCACTGCCTTGTGGATCAGACCTTTAGGTCAAAGGCTCGGGGTGTGGTCCCCTAAGAAAACCACCTGCTTCGGTTTGGGCACCCGGGCAGTATCACAGCCCACACACAAACAAATGAATGAAATTATGAACTTTATTGACGATATCCCTGGTCATACTAAAAGCAAAACAATTAACATTATTATTATTATTACCTTTATTATTATTATTATTATTATTATTATTATTATTATTATTATTATTATTATTATTATTATTATTACTTACCATATCGCTAATTCACCCCCTTTTATCCCCAATTTGTGTAACCTTACTCTTCAACTTATGCAGCAGCTCGCTCTTGGTGGAAAATCTGTCCTATCTAAACGATCTCCAGTCACTGTCTGGTTGAAAGTGAATGCTTCCACCGATTATGAATACTGAGGCAGTCTTTCTGAAACCACGTACGCCGTTCAAGCTGGCTTCCTTCAACGTTCGCACACTAATGCAGATCAGACAACAGATAGGGCTGGCTATGTCTTTGGAAGGTCTTAATGTTGACGTTTGTTGTCTATCCGAGACCCGTATTCAAGACTCTAGTGAAGTACTACAAATCCGCTCTCCATCTGTCGCTTCGAAAAGCTTGTTCCACGTGCGCTTATCCGGGGACCCTGTGGCATCTTCGTCTGGTCTTGCTGGCGTTGGTGTCGCACTAAGCGCTAGAGCTGAGGCAGCACTAATCGATTGGATCCCCATTAACAGTCGGTTATGTGCTGTTAGATTAGAAAGTTCCATCAAAGTGAGAAGAAATCGGCGTGAGAAACGGTGTCTTTTCGTCATCTCCGCCTATGCCCCGACAGGTTGCAGCCCGGATGCAATCAAGGATGAGTTTTACCATCAGTTAACAGTTCTTCTCCAGAAAGCGCGTTCGACAGATATTGTAGTACTAGCCGGAGACTTGAATGCACAGGTCGGGCGTCTAGGCACAGAAGAGAGTCGTCTAGGTGGCCGATGGGGACTTGTTGGTCGCAGGACAGATAACGGGGACCGTTTGCTGCAACTGTGCACAGACCACAACCTGTTTCTGGCCAGCACTAACTTCCGGCACAGTCATCGCCGGTGTGCCACCTGGCGTCCTCCCTCTGCATCCCAAGCCTGGACTCAGATTGATCACATCGCGATCAGCTACCGCTGGCGTGGTTGTGTACAAGACTGCCGCTCCTTTTGGAGTACCTATCTGGAGTCTGATCATGCCCTGGTCTGCGCCAATCTCACCTTACTTTTCAGTGGCCGAAGGATTGACCACCACCAACGGATTGATATTAGTAAACTGGCTGCAACTTCTGTTGCAAGTAAGTATCGAGCGGAGCTAGCCTCTAGGCTAGCTACCACCCCACCGAAAAGTATAGGTAAGCATTGGTTGCATCTTCATGACGCCATGAAAATGGCGAGTAAAGCCGCTTGCGGCTTCGCGAAACGTCCCGCTTACAAGCACTGGGTTTCTTCTGGCTCCTTACAACTGATGGAAGCCCGTCGGTCTACTCCGGGTGACCGTGAGTTTGACCACAAACGAAGGCTGTTACGTAATGAAATCGGGCAAAGCTTGTGTAAGGACCGGGAAGCCTGGTGGTCGGAGCGTGCTAATGAGATGGAAGCAGCAGCTGCATCTGGTAACTGCCGGAAGCTCTTCCAACTCATCCGAGCCACTGGCAGCAAGAAGTCTGGTGTGAGTGAAACAATCTACGAGGATGACGGGATGCCAATCACTAACATCTGTCGACGTCTTGGACGATGGGCGGAATTTTTCGAAGGGCAGTTCAACTGGCCTGCTGCTCCGGCAACATCAACCAGCTTGTCCTGCTCCCCATGGCCGGTGACGACTGATCCACCAAACGAGGCGGAAGTCCGCAAGGAACTCCAACTCTTGAAACGTTATAAATCACCTGGCCCAGATGACTTACCTCCGGCTCTTTTTAAAGATGGTGGTGACTTTCTGGCTAAGGAACTGACTGCGTTGTTTGGAAAGGTTTGGGAGCAAGAAAGTGTTCCAACATTTTGGAATGAGTCAATAGTCGTCCCTATCTTTAAAAAGGGTTCACGTTGTTCCTGTA